GCAAGGAAAGGAGCACTCTGCTCACTAAAAATAAATACACATTTGAAAGTGTTCATTATAAAAATTGCAGATATCTTCTCCTCAATTCAAGTGCTGTTGCAAAAGTAAATCTGCCTGATGCATGAAGATGACTAAGGCACAGGAGGCTTGGAAAGTAGCATGTGAGAAGCAGAGGTTCTGCTTTAAAGTGATTAAAGAAAGTGAATATCAGAACTTCTCAAACTCTTCCAAGGTGCTACTTTCCCCCCTACTGTGGCAAGCAGTCCTGTCCTGTCATGCTCGAGTGACTGCAATGCTGGTACGTGGAAAGGACAATTTACCCTCTGCTCTTCAGACCTTCTATTTTAGGGCACTGGCTTTGGTCTTTCCTCCTTAAAAAACAAAACTTAAATGAGCTTTTCTGCTCTCCATAGTCAGTCCTTTACAGCCATGCTGTCCTGGGCTCTCACTTTTGGTTGAAGTTGATCTGAAGTTTGCTGCTGACAAATCTGTGTCAAATAAGGGTCACTAAAGCTGAAGGCAGTGCTAGAGGCATCATCACATATTTACTAGCTATATTTGCTATCAGCACTATGCTGAGCCTGCAAAACTGAATTAAAATACTCCAATTCATAGAAAGCAATAATATATTATTAAACAAAGAAGCCTTCAAGCATCTCTGTTTATGCATGCAAACCTTTCTCAGGGAAAGCGGGCCGCGTTCAGTGAGACCAATGGTCTCTATTGGAATAGACTGAGCTACTCTGCAAAGGTTCAGAGGATCAGAGCTAAAGGTGTTAGAAATCTTAATGGCAGAGATGTATCTCACATCAATAAGATGGAAGCTGCCAACATCTCCACACTGTCTTAAAAATGAAGTTGACTTAGATGATATTTTCATTGAATTTACCTTTTCCTTTCATCTACTCTTCACTCTGCAACTTGGAAGGCTTCTCAAATTTTCAAGTTGATTTTCTCATAATTAATTGGACAATTAACTGTAACTTAGTAAGTATTTATCCAGTATGGTAATTATGCAAATGCCTACAGATCTCAAATATATCCACACTCAAGGAATTTAATTAGAGGGAATTGCTGTGGATATTTCAGAATTGTTCTTCACTTGCACCAAAGATTTGAAAAGCAAATCTTAGGATTACATTTCCTTTGACAGACCTCCTAGGTTTTTGAAAGGTGTTGTAAAATAAAATTACTGCATTGATTGGAAACTCTAAAGCCCTCAAAGACCTTTTAAAAAAAAAGGGTAAACCTTTTGAAATTTATAGGACACTTCCAGGCTGATCCTGCACATCCCTTGATGCCTGTATCACTCCTCAGCTTAAGGAAGCTGCAGGGAACATCACAGCCAGCAATGCAAACTTCCTTCGGCATGATTGTTCAGTGCCACTAAAGGTGCAACCCTAAGTCTCAATATCTCCATTCTCCAACCCTTTTTCCCCCTTTAAACTATGGCACTAGTTCAGTTATCAGCATGTGCTTAGAGTCCTAACACAGCACAGGGGAGGGAACTGGGGGTGTGGACCACTGCCAGCAAAAAAAGGACAAGAAGAGCCCAGGACCACCACTGACTCCATTTCTCTGTCATTACAGGCCACTATGCAATAGCCTAATTAATGCTGAAAGCTCTATAGGACATCCCTTTCATGTATGTAAAACCCTGCCCATGAGCCATAAAACATCCCATAATTTAACTCTTTGCATTCCTCCAGCCCCTGCAGAGCACCCAGGCATATTTCAGGCTCCTTATATTTTGTTTGGTTACACTGATGCTTAGACTGATGTGTAGTACCATGTCCTTTTGGACTGAATTAATGGCAATAGCTAATGTTCTGAAAGAGCAAGTACAAAAGCAGGAGCAATTTTACTGTTAATGACCTTGACCTTGATAGTTCTTGTTTCTTTGATTCATTCTTTTGCCTTCCCTCTTCATTCATATATCTACTGGTCCATAATACACTAAGGTTTCAGATAGAGAACCAAGGAACCATAAATGTCAGTTCTTGCCACTTTGCTTCATTTTAGTGTCCCTATAATCTGACATCTTTTGAAGTATGGTCAGTTTTGTCCTTCTACTTTTTTTTTTTTTTGGCTGCTGTTTCTGTTTTCATCTCTATCATGAACTATTCAGAGGAAGGTGAAAACACTGAAATGGAAAACCTTTGAAGGTTTGTGGCAGTTTCTGTGATTGGCTGTTTTTATTTTTATAGCTGCTTGAGAGGTAAAGCATTGGAAATACTTGGCCTGCATTTGTTTGTCAGAACCATTAAAATATCCAGTATCCTGACCCATTGGAAAGTTCAGAAGGCCATTTTCTGGTTGGAAAATGAAGTTGCATCCACTTTTTTTTCAAGAATAGGTATTCTTCCTGAAGTTTGATGTCAAACTTCCTTCCCTTGCACCTACCCCATCCAAAGGTACAGTTCTTCCTCCCATGGCTTCCTTTCAGCATTGATCAGTTCTTTGGCTTACTAGTGAGAAAAAAAAAAAGCTAAGGCAGCTCGGCCAGGGAGGAGTAGTACCCACCAGCAGAAAGCCATGACCTCTCTGATGCCATCACGATTGGTGAAGTGCAGACAGAGCTCCGGTGGGATCATGCTGCCACCAGGTGTCAGCTGCAGGCTGTGCCCTGCTCTTAGGCTGGCCACCACTCTTAGGCAGCGGTGAGCAAAGCTGTGGGAGGTGTGCCCAGAGTTTCCTCCACTTAGTGACAGAGCTGAATGAGGCAAGTATGTTGGGAAGTATCTGGAAGTCCAAGGGACAGACAGAGTTCTGGAGTCACACCTACCTTCCCTGAGACAATCCCGACAGGCAGACAGGACATATGGTACGGAGGATGTGCTATCTTCTCTCCACCTGGCAGAACACAGTAACTCAATGGAGAGGTGGCAATGGTGACAAGTTCCTGCCTGGCACAGCTGGTGCATCTCCTCTGTGACTGCCCTCCCCAGATAATAGGTATGAGGCTCTGCAAGTGCAACAGAAGAAGGTGGGGATGTCTGCTGGAAATGCAGTAGAGTGGAGAGAAAACAGTCCTAGGGGTTCCTGGAGCATGTGGCAGGTAACTTCCTGACAGAGCTGGTGAGTGAGCCAACTAGGGAAGACACCTGCTGGACCTGTTGTTTGTGAACAGAGAAGGACTGGTGGGTGCTGTGATGGTTGGAGGCCATCGGGCTCAGCCATCATGAAATCATCATTTGGGATTCTCAGAGAAGGAAGGATTGGGAGCAGCAGAACTCTGGGCTTTGAAGTTTGAGAGTTCTGGGGCTTTTTCATTCCAGCTGGAAGTCCTGACTGGGTACACTTGTCTGTGGTGAGGATGATTCTACAGTCTGCTGCAAGAGTAGAGAGTGACACACTCCCTGCAAGTAATTTTTTTTTTCTTTTAATTTATTTTGATTGGTTTTCAAGAACAGGCTGGAGAGGGCACTGGTAGGGTCGCTTTCCTTGAAGGGATTTAAAAGACATGTAGATGAGGCACTTGGGGACATGATTTAGTGATGGGCTTGGCAGTGCCAGGTTAATGGTTGCACTCAAGGAGCTTAGAAGTCTTTTCCAGCCAAAAGAACCCTATGAGTCCATGATTCTATCTGCCAGATATAGCTAGTTCCATGTTAACAGCATTAGTTTTATCAAAAAATTTCCTCTTGGTCAGCTCTTGAGAGCTAATTCTTCGATTCCTTTAGCTCCCAAGTGCTGACGTGCTAATGCTAACCAAGTCAACTCAGAGAGAATACAGTTAATCCAATTTCTTCTATAACACAGAGGGTTAAAGTGTGTGAACTGATAACATGAGCATTGTTTGCCTGTCACCTCCTCTCTCCTCTTCAGGACTTTCAGGGGCTTGAAACAGAAAAGAGATTTCCTAAAGAAAGAAAACGGAAGCAGCAAGTTACATCTCACAGGTCTTGCTCTTTGCAGTCTGGCCTTGACTGGTTTAAAAGTGAGAGGAGGACGAGGGTGGAATGATGCTTCTGAACTTTGGAACGCTCGTGTGTTTTCTGTGTTCCTAAGCCTGCCTTCCTGTGGCCTGTCCACCACCTGATCTATTTGGTCTCTGCCTCATAACTCCCTTTTTTGATGGGACTTGCCCATTTTGGCCCATTGGTTTCCTCCTCCTCCCACCTTCTAAGTTCTCCCACCTTCTCTTTGAACTTGCTTTTCTGTCCGTCTGTCTTTCTTTACACCCATTATGGCCTGACCTCTGTGGCTCACGGATGTGCACAGGGAAGCTCCCAGGGGTGTGACATAGGACCAAAAGGCTTCTTTGAGCTGTCAGAGCACTGCAGCAGCACACTGATAAGAAGGGACAATTAATACGGGATAAGTAAAGCAACTTTTCATCCACAGAATTTCAGTGTAGACCTGGGGCTTTCAGCAAGTGCATCAGTTTTCAAATGACACCCTCACCTGTAAGGTGGAGCCCAAGATTTCCTCCAAGCCTTGGGCACTCTCAGCTTGTTTTCCGAGTCCCTGCGTTCTGTAATATTTACAGCAGAGAACCTGCAGAGCTACAGGAGCTCAACAAAGAGACCTCCTCAGCAGCTGTGGTACACCCCAGTGTAAGCAGTTGGAGAGCTGAAAGGCAGATTTGTTACCACGCAGTGTTCCCTGGGAAGCTGGAAATCAATTGTATCAGGGTGTGCCTTTGAATCACACACCAGCGACCATTGCACCAAATGTGTTTGCCTTACTAAGCACTACAAGCCCAGGATAAAGCTTCTAAAGGACACTCTGTTGTCCACCACCAGAGGATAGTCCCTTGATGTCTGCACTAAATCACCAGGAAAACAAGCTAAGCCTCAAATCCTTATTCCATGGAAGGGTAGAGCTCATTTCCAGAGGAGTTTTGTGCCCTTTCTTTCCTTCCATTGACATTCCTTTCTTTTCTTTTTCAAGCTGGGTCCTGCTTTTAGCTCTAGATTTTGACAGAGACCAATTGCACCTGATTTTCATGGGGATGAAATGTCTGTAAGTCATCCTACAGGTAGTGTGGGATCTTGGGGCAGATCTGTGAGGCTGTGGTTTTTGGCTCTTCTAAACCCACAGTCTTGGGCTTTCCATGTACAGGGCATTCCAGGGCAGTGGGACAGGCTTCCAGTGACAGAGGAGAATTTTCCAGCATTTTTTTGGCATTAGCTGTAGAGAACATTCAGGGGCTCTGCATACATCTGCAAGCAAAGCTAGAGCAGCTGCTGTTGTGATGTCACTGGAACCGTTGTCCTGGTGCACGGACCGTTGTCCTGGTGCATGGAGTGTTGTCCTGGTGCACGGACCGTTGTCCTCATGCACGGAGTGTTGTGCTGGTGCACGGACCGTTGTCCTCGTGCATGGAGTGTTGTCCTGGTGCACAGACCGTTGTCCTCGTGCACGGGAGCCTCCGTGTGCACAGTGTGTTTGGCGTGCTCGTAGCGGGAGGGTGCTCCTCATCGAGGCACTCACCTCCAGCAGGCTGCACTTGGACACCCGGGGTGTCCTTTTCTTCCTTGGCGTGCACAGGCTGTGGAATTCTTGCCCAGCATGGCTAAAGTGTTCCGGCGAGTCTGTGCCGCCTTTTGCCAGGTTTTTCCTATGGCCTATGCTTTTTATTGTGACCCAGACAAACCCTGGCTGCTGACTCATCTAGCAAGTAAGTAGAGGTTTTCTCCAGGTGCAGCCAACCTGGCTTTTGGATCGAAGTGTTGTTTATGCTGCCCCTTAGTGACTGCATTGCCTTTGAAACCAAAATGCCCCACAGATACCATGACTTCGGTAAAGCTCATGTCAGGGGCATCAGCTCCAAAGGGGGTGTCTCCAGCCATTCAAGGGGGTGTGGGCAGCATTTGCAATTGAACCCACAGGGTTCTGTGCCCTACACGGGTTAGTCCATGGCAGTGGAGTCTGTAATTTCCTCAGTTGCTGCTTCAGCCAATACAACTTCCCAAATGCAGATTGGCAGAGCTCCTCAGAAGTCCCTCTAAAGACTGTGCAGTTCTCTCCAGTTTTTCCCTAAATTCCATCATTCATAGGTTGGGCAGTGTGACCTGCCACAATGTTTGCTCAAATAGCTCTTGCTTTGGTGATGAAATGCAAACTTCTAGAGAGTGTGGGGGAGAATAGGGGAGCAGAGGAGGAGAGGACAGATGCTTTAGCTCTTGGGCAGAACAGAATCAATGACTGTCAAAGGACAATGTGCCTTTTCTTGACCAAGTTTCACTTTATTTGATTTAGAATAAGAAAAATAGAAACTGCCCTGGCAAAACAGGGCAGAAAACTCGGCCCAAGAAGCTGTAGCAAAACAACAGCCTGCTATATTGTGCTGTTCTCTTGCTCCCTGTGTGAAAGAACTGTGCTACTGAAGGGATGTTGTGAAAGAAAAATGCTCTCCATTTGGGTTGACTTTTTCCATGGGATTCCCCACAACAGCCAGTTTTCTAACATCTGCTTCATTTTCCTTTCCCCATTGCAGGTAAATATGTGTTTAGAAACAGAAGAGGCCGTCCTTCGGTGAGCGGCAAAGTAATCCTGACATTCCTAGCCTTTCAGGATTGTGCCTGTGACCTTTGCCTGTTGCAATCGAGTACCAGCCCTCAAGGCTGAAATAAAGTGTTCTTCAGTGTCTTTGCATCAGAAGAAAAGGGTTCCCTGGCTGGTTTTTATTTGTCTCTTGGAGGCCTTTTAAGTAGATGACAGTCTGGTTTTGCAGACAGAAAGTTTCTTGCTGCTTTTAGCCATGGGGGAACAACAGCAGTTCACAACAAGATGCACTGCTGTCTAATTAGCCCCCTTCAACTTAGCTGGAGCAACTTAGAATCCCCTTGCTATCAAAGGTTATGATTTCTCCTTAGTACAGCTGGATAGATAGCTGCATAGAAATAAGGTTCTAAATGATATGTGACTCCCTGTTGCTCACACTGCTGTCTGTCCACAGAGGAAACTACCTCAAGCTGACCCTCCTCAGGCTCCTTCTCTTCCTTCCCTTTATGAGGATACAGAGGAGGAAGACAACAACGAAGCTCCACCTGTTGTTGCACCGGAGCCTGAACAGCCAAACTCTGTAAGAGCCAGCTTTGCCTAGCACTCTCATTACTGTAATTCAGAGCTGCCTGTTTCAGACCAGACAGCACTTGCCCCTCATGGCTGAAAATCCTGAGGGCTGGAATCCTACCATAACAAAGTGTTTCCTCCCCCCCATCCACTGACATTTGGAAAATGGGTTCTGAACTTTCAAGTTCAGTCATCGTTTTCCTGGCATTCTGACAGGGCCCACGAGTTTCTCTCTGTATGGGATGAGAGGTAGCCTTGTGTCTGTAAATGGGGAGACACTTAGCCTGCAGTGTCTGTGCAGCCTCCCTGTCACCAGCGGAGCGAGCGCTCCAAAGGCACAGTTCACAGCCTTGCTGCATGTGGATACCTGGGAGAAACTGTCCCGTGCAGGTCCCTGCCCTCCTCCACGCACTATTTAAGGGGCTAAATGGACACTTTAAACTACACCCATAACTTTTACGTGACCAAAGTCGGGTGAGAAGAGTCCTACGCAGCTCGGCCATGGCAAGAGGAGGTCGGTCTCTGAGAAGGGCTGGAACTTAATGGCTGTTCCCTAAAGCTTGAAATACTGATGAGAAATATCTCTGCAAGCCTCCTTTCTGATGCAAACTGATTTCTTGTCACAGATCAATACAAGTTCTGGAACAAAATCTTCCACTGCCCTGGAAGCTGCTGCACTGGAAGCCGCTGACAAAGACAACACTCCCACACCTGAGATCACCTACATGAGCACTTCCAGCAGTTCCTGCAGCAGCACCAACGAGCAGCAAAAGACGGTAGAGGAGGACAGCCTCGAGAAATTGAGTATGTCTTCTGCATTTCTTGCCTCATAGGGCAGTGCTAATGTTCCTAGACAACAAACACTTGCCTTGCTACCTGTTCTTTTCTGTCTCCTCAGAATGTTTCTCCCTCTTTCTCCCAGTTTCCTGTCAATGTAACTCTTCAAAGGACTGTAGAAAACCAGTTTTTGTGGAAGCCATCTGGACTACAGATCTGCCTCTCTTCTTCTTGTTGTTATTGTTGTTGTTGTTACCCAACTGACTTCAGCTCACAGCCCCAGGCAGAGGAGCTGCAGTTCTGACCTGCTGGAGGCTGGTATCGTCATCCTGAAGTGACCATCTTTCATTTGTTTTTTTCAGGGAGCATTGTGAGTGTGGGAGATCCTATGAAGAAGTACGTTGAATGGGAAAAAATTGCCAGTGGGTAAGTCTGATCACAGTTCCTTCCACAAAGCCAGGTATTTTGCTGGTGCAAGGTCAGGCGGGAAGTCAGACAGGCTCCAGACATGTTCAGACACTGCGTTTAGATCCTCCTGCCTCTCAGTGCTGATCCCAATTTAGAACTGTGGTCAGATGGCATCCTCAAAGACAACTGCATGCTGGTAGTGTCTTGCCCGCAGCAAGGAGCAGGATCTCCTGTCCTTCAAGTGCCTGGCACCTGTTTGCCTCTTTGCTTACGAGAAATGATGTCTCTATGTCTCCAAATAATACAGCCAAGGAAAAGAAAGGAGAAAGAAACTTTCTTGCCAAAAAGAGCAACTGACCCCCTGAGAGCTGTCAGATAACAGTTCTCAGGAACTACCAATATTTTGCGGAAAACAATGGTCGGTGGTCAGCAGTATAACCATATCGTTTAGAAACAGAAAAAAAGAGATAAAAAAGAAACTCTCTTTGTAGCAGAAGTAGTAAAACCTAATTCAGTAATAGACCCAGTGTCAAGGGAGTTGAGAGGAAAATGCATCCTGATGATGGCAAATGACCTCAAAGGTGGCTGGAGACTGGTTTCCTTACAGGCTGGAGAAAGCCATTTCTAGATCCTTTCCTCACATGTGTTCAGGCTTCTCAGAATAGGGTGTTGCCTGAGATTGGCAGAGACCTTCAAAGGAGGGATCTGAGAACAAAGCAGTTAGAGGTCTGAGCACTCAGCAAGGCCAAATGGAAAAAGAAGGAAATACATTCCTTTCCAGTTTTTGTGGACATGCTCCACCACCTTAGGGAGAGGTCTGAATTAAGTTAATCTGGGCTGTACACTTGAGATTTGTTCCAGCCCTTCATGTTGCACCCAAGTTTTCTCTTGGATACCCTGCATGGCACAGGGCCGGTAGGCTGCTCTGCTCTTGGCTGAAGCATACATGGAGCCAGGTGATTTAGAAACACTCCAGGCAGCAGACATCTCCTGTCTGGGCTGGCTTTCATTCTTTTCTTCGCTGCTGTTTTCTTTCTAGTGGCTTCGGAACGGTCTATGCAGCGACCGACACTGCCACAGGAGGAGAGGTAAGATTACAAATCCAAACTGCGTTCAAGAGTGTTCTTTAGAGTTGCAAAATCAAAATTTGGTCTGATCTTGTGCAAGAGACTTCCCAAGTTAATGGTTTTCAATATCATTTTAGGTGGCCATAAAGCAAGTGTGTCTCCAAAAACAGCTCAAAAAGGAACAAATTGTCGATGAGCTCATTGTCATGAGGGACAACAAGCATCCAAATATTGTTAACTATTTAGACAGGTAAGTAGTTCAGGTATGATCATGTGACTGTTCCTTTACAGACTGCAAGCCAAAGGTTAAAAGAACCCCCTTTGGTCTCTGGCAGAGAAGTCAGCTTTCTAGTATTATTTTTTATCTATTCCTATACATTGTATGGGAGGAGAGTGCATTTTGTCTGCATTCATCTTTTCTGGCATGCATTGTTTCAAGTCATCCCTATCTTCCTAAAACAACAGCCTGGAAGTTCATTACTACCAGGTCGGTTTTGCTGTTTGTTTGGGGAGTCTTTTTAAGTTAATCATATTTTCTGTCTCTTATGACAACTGCTGATAAAGCATCATAGGAATTATTTCCCTGTATTTTTCACTCCCTTGCCATCTGAGACATCTCAGTTTTCATGGATGTGCCTTTCTCACTTAGACTACACAGGTTCCAAGGAGTGTATAGCCTAGGAGGATTTTATTCCGTGTTCATTCCCAACTCTTCCAAGAACAGAAATCAACTTTAGTCTTTTAGGTAGGGTAATTTAGCTATGCCCATTCTCCCTGCCATTGTTTTCTTCTTTCAGCTACCTGGTTAGAGATAAACTGTGGATAGTGATGGAATACCTAGACGGAGGCTCCTTAAGTGCTGTTGTTAAGGAAATAAGCATGAGTGAAGGAATGATGGCAGCTGTCTCTCGAGAGGTAAGGGATGCCACTGGTGCTTCCAGTTGTTTGGGCAGGCTGGGACTTCTAAACAAGCAGCAAGAACAGGAGTGATTTCATGGTTAGAGCTTTGTTTCCGTGTTGCTTTTCCAATATGGAGAAGAAAGAGCATCTTCAGTGAATGGCCTGCCAGTACAACTCTTGCTGTACCCTCTCTCTTTTTTCTTATTTTATTTACTATTCGCAACTTTGCCAAATTGTTTGCCTGGAGCCTGTCTCTACTGCATTCCCTACCTGTAAGTGCAAACATGCTGGTGGCAGAATTTTATACTAACAGCAAAGAAAAACAGAAACTCATTTGTCACAGTCCTCAGCTGAAAGGCAGAGCATTCCACCCAAAACGGTGTTTGCATCTGCAAAATTACTAAAATGCTACTTCCAAGTCTGCTCTTCCAGCTAGCAATAAGATCTTGGTCCTGCAGCCTCCCACCCAGAAGCGATCCACTTGATCCCCTCAGGAGAGGGAGTTTCACTGTTTTGGCAAACCATGATTTACCCTCTGCATGGAGAGAGCCCACGCACTGCAGCAGCAGTCATTTTGTCTGTGTCTGCAGGGGTGCAGCATGACAACAATTGCCATTTCTCTTTCCAAACCTCCAAAGGGAATGTGCCTTCCCTTAGAAAGTTTACTAGTACGGAGGCAGCAGCAAGCTCTTCCTCTTGACACCACCATGGTCTGCCAGTCCTCACTGTTCACCTAGAACTGAAATCTTTAAAGCCATTGCCTTTCTTGGGTGAGGAAATTGGGTCATTCATTTTTACTCTCCTGTTTCTTTTTTCTCTCTCAGTGCCTGCAAGCACTGGCCTTCCTCCATTGCCACCAAGTGATCCACAGGGATCTCAAAGGCGATAACATTCTGCTTGGAATGGATGGATCCGTCAAGTTGGGTAGGTGTTCTTGCTCAGCCGTGCTGTTCCCGGGATGCGGCGCGTGGGGCTGCTGGAGACTGCCTGCCAGTTCCCAAAAAGCGGTGCCTGTGGGAGTGCAGGGAGCACTGCTACAAGCTGAGAGCACACTTGCAACGTGCAGAGAGGAACAAGGTGTCCTTGGCTACAGCCCTGAGGAAACAGAGCATGGCCGCTTTTCCTGCTGGATTCAGCCTCCTCAGGCTTCTAGTGGGCAATTCTTGCACTTGGCTTCATGATTCAGGCTGGCTTTCATGATACTGGCTTTTGTCCTCAGCTGATTTTGGTCTCGCTGCTCGCATCACACCTGAGCAGAGCAAACGAAGCTCAGTCGTCGGCACGGCTCACTGGATGGCCCCCGAATATCTAACTAAAGAGGAATACGGACCCAAAGTGGATATTTGGGCACTGGGCATCACAGTGATAGAAATGCTGGAAGGAGAACCTCCTTATTTTTGGGAGCTTCCTCACAGGGTAAGGTGCAAATACTACCAGATAACCACTGTCTTTCTCATCTGTCCCATGTTTTGCCTCCATTGAGAAAAAATACCATTCCCACCAGCTTGAACAAGTTCAACCAAGGCCAAGGCAACAAAAAAAGGGCCCCAGAGCACATCCACATCCTCTATAGCTTTAGTTGCGTCACTCTTGAAAATAACCTGTAAAGCCTGTAAAGTCCATCCTCAGAGAAGCAAAAGGTGCTTTTGCTGATGGAGTTCCTCCTAACTTGGTCAGCCAATGAAATCAGCTATCAAGGCAAGATCATTTGGATGTTGGAAGACCTGGGGCTGCACTGGGGCCTTTTTCTTGGTGTCAAAAAATCATTTTGAACCCTCTGCCCGGGAAGAAACTGCCACTGGAAGATGGAGCATCAAAAATGGGGTCTGTGGGAGCAGTTAGGGAGATGAAAGAAAGAGGTAAAGTCCCATGTTTCCTTTTCCTCCAGGCCATGCAGCTCATCATTTCAAAGGGGATACCGGAGCTGCAAAACCGCGAGAAACTGTCCCCTGCATTGCAGGACTTTCTGAACCGCTGCTTGCAGGCAGACGAGGACAGTCGATGGTCTGCTGAGGAACTTCTGCAGGTAAAATGCAGAGTGGCTGCCAGTGACACAACTGTCCCATGCATCGGTGTTCTCGTCTGCTAAACTCCAAGGCATCAGGTGCCCCCGCCTCGTATTAATCCCCAGAAGTGCTCTGTCCTCTGATCATTTTGGTGGCCCTGATTTGGATCTAAGGGAGCTGTTCAGTTTTGTCTGGTTCCTAATGCCAGGAACGGAGCCCTGAAATGGTGCTGGTGGTGGAGGAACCCAATAAAATCAGTGCCTGCCAAGTGGTCTGAGAACTTGGCTGTGGGAAGGAAGGGGCTGGGGGCAGCTCCCCGTGAGCCCAAATCCTTTCTTGGTGATAAACATTTCTTGGTGACCTTGAGTTTCCTGAAGAGCAGCTTATGCTCCTCATCTTTTTTGACTTCTAGAATAGCCCATGTCTTTAGGAAACAGGAACCTAAGTAAGTATTTAGAGTTTCCTGAAAGGACCTAAGCCCTGGGACAGCAAGCAGCATTCCCACAGCCCTGGCAGGGCAAATATCCCATCGAGCTTGAGAAAGGGGTTAATAGGATTATGGGCCACGTCTGCCTGTCATAACGAGGTCCTGGACATGAAGACAGAGGTGCAGATGGTCCCCTCAGTCCTATTTCTGCACATCTCTGGTAACCCGAGGAATACTGCTTGAGCTCGTGAGGAACTGAGTTTGGAAAGTAATGGTCCATTTCTTTTCTTTTCCTTTGGGCAGCATCCATTTTTACTCTCAGCCATGCCCCTCTCCGGCCTCACAACTGTGATCAATGCAGCAAACCAGCTGAGGGAGGCCAGCAGACAGAGGAAGGGTTTTGGCATGCCTTCCTCCAGTTCCATCGATGGGTGGAACTCAGAACAAAACTGAAGGAGCCTCACCCCAGTGAATACCCTGGGGGAGTTCCACAGAGGAGGGGGCGCTTAGGAGTCGATTAGGGCACAGGGCATCACCACCAGCAGGTGGTGAGCAACTGCATTGTACATTGCTTGTTTTGCTGGGGTTTCATCTCTTTCTCCGTTTTACTACTGTTACAATTAGGATTTGCATTAGTATCACTATTAGAGTTTGTATTAGTATTAGTGTTAGTATTACTATTTGTATTCATATTGGATTTTACTCTGTTTCAATTATTAAACTGTTCTTATCTCAACATACAAGTATTGCTTGGGTTTCATCTCTTTCTCCGTTTTACTACTGTTACAATTAGGATTTGCATTAGTATCACTATTAGTGTTTGTATTAGTATTAGTATTACTATTTGTATTCATATTGGATTTTACTCTGTTTCAATTATTAAACTGTTCTTATCTCAACATACGAGTTTTGCTTGGGTTTCATCTCTTTCTCCGTTTTACTACTGTTACAATTAGGATTTGCATTAGTATTACTATTAGTGTTTGTATTAGTATTAGTGTTAGTATTACTATTTGTATTCATGTTGGATTTTACTCTGTTTCAATTATTAAACTGTTCTTATCTCAACATACGAGTTCTACTTCTGATTTTCCTCCCTGTTCCACTGGGGAGGGGGATGGGGATGGGGATGGGGATGGGGATGGGGATGGGGATGGGGGGGAGCAAGCGGCTGTGTGGTGCTTACTTACCAGCCCAGCTGGTAACTTAAACCACAACACTTCACCAGCACGTGATTCTTCAACGAGTCCAACTATTCTGTCACCTTTTCTTCAAATGAGATTTACAATCTTGGTATCATAAAAATCACCATCAACACACCCGTGATTCATGTAATTCAGTTATGCACACACTGCACTGAGAAGTCCACTTACTATTTTTAAACTTGGTCCTTCTTAATTTCACTGTGCTCAGTTTTTTGGCCTACTAGCTAGAAGAAAAAAGATAAGTACAAGGCATTCCCTAGCATTAATGATTTCACAGGATCAGAGAGTTGTACAATATCCCAAGTTGGAAGGGACCCACAAGGATTGAGTCCAACTCCTGGCCCCCCACAGGACAGCCCCAAGAATCACACCATGTGCCTGAGAGCGTAGTTCAAATGCTTCTTGAACTCTGTCACAATTGGGGCCGTGACCACTTCCCTGGGGAGTCTGTTCCAGTGCCCAATCACCCTCGGGGGGAAGAACCTTTGCCTGATATCCAGCCTAAACCTGCCCTGACACAGCTTCATGTCATTCCCTCGGGACCTCTCACTGGTCACCACAGAGATCAGTGCCTGCCCCTCTGCTTCCCCTCACGAGGAACTTGTAGACCACAATGAGGTCTCCCCTCAGGCTTCTCTTCCCCAGGCCGAACAAGCCAAGGGACCTCAGCGGCTCCTCCTAAGGCTTCCCCTCAAGGCCCCTCACCCTCCTCCTGGGCCTCCTTTGGACACTCGCCAAGAACTTTATATCTCCCTTCTATTGGTCACCCACAAGCTGAGGCCACACCAGCACAGAGGGGAGCAGGACAATCACCTCCCTCCACCAGCTGGCAATGCTGTGCCTGATGCACACATACATCTATCTGATGATAAACCCTTCCCAGCAGTTGAGGGGGAACTGAAATCAAACTATTTAGGCAAATTCCGCTCTCACTTCCACCTCTGAAGCCTTTTTGTCTGTTTTGGTTGGTTGGTGTTTGTGTTTCTGTTTTGGTTGGTTTGTTTGTTTCTTTGATCGAGTTCCCAACCTGCTTTTCACTTCAGAGTAGCCTGTGAAACAAATGGCCTTCGGACAAGGACCGGGCACAGGAGCTGGGCACAGCCTGGAGCTGGCTCTCCCGCTGGCTCTGCCTGGGCCAGCAGGGACCCGGGCCAGGGCAGAAATTCCCGGGATGCCCAAGGCAAGCGATGGCCGCGCACAAGGCAGCGACGGCGGAGGAGGAGGAGACCTTCCTGAAGGAGTCCCGGCTCCCCCGGGCTGGGCCGTGCCAGCCCGACATCCCGCCCGTTGCCCCGCCGGCCAACACTGTGTTCTCAAAAAGCAGTGGACACCGTCAGCATTTAGGCAAGAACACACCTGTAGCACTTGTTTTGGCACAAACCCAGGCTACACGTCAGTGCGGTGACTGAACAGCTTTATCGTCACGAACGGAGGTTTAAATACAGTATTTAAATCGTAACACGTGACCTTTCAACTAATGACATTCGAGTACTCCACTGCGCATGTCCAACAGAGTACCAAAGACTACAACTCCCATGACGCCTTGCAGCATCCTTTCTGTAGTATGAATCCATACAGAAACTCCTTCTCCAGAGATACTTGCTGCCTTCACACAGAATCACTGAATTTTTAGCGTTATACGGGACCTCGGGAGATTCTCCGGTCCAACCCCTCTGCCAAGACAGGGTCCCCCAGAGCAGACTACACAGGAACATGTCCTGGTGGGTTTTGATGTCTCCAGACAGGGAGACTCCACGACCTCCTTGGGCAGCCTGCTCCTGTGCTCTGCCACCCTCAACATAAAGAACTTCTCCCTCATGTTGGAGTGAAACTTTTGTGGTTTAGTTTATGGCCATCGCTTCCTGTCCTGTGCAGAATCACACACCATCCTCTAGGCACCCACCTTTGAGATTTTTATATGCATAAATGAGACCCCTCTCGGTCTTCTCGAGACTAAACAGGCCCAGCTCCCACAGTCTCTCCTCAGAAGAGAGATGCTCCAGACTCATCATCATCTTCATTTCAACTGATGCTGCAGCCTCTGCTTATTCTGAAATATAGCAGGAGACTGCCTGGTTTTATAAGAAGAAAGCAAGAGAAGAAAATTCCAGCTGCATTTCAAAAAAATCAAACACTGCTTCTCCTTCTGGCTGGCAGGTGTTGACTGTAAGGAATCTGTCTTCAGGAGGGGAAATGACATTTAGTCAGAGCATCAGGAAAATGTAAAATATATATATAGTCACCTGTCCTTCAGCACGGAAAAAAATCAGATAAAAAGGAATGTATTACAGCATAGAATAAAGCAGTATAGAATAAAGACAGGTCTTGCTGCACAGGGCATCATGTTTCCCAAACAGCACCTTCACGCGTAAGAATACCACCTCCAAAACAGACTTCTTTTTTGGGCATAGCAATTGCTGATCAGCAATAAATGGCTGCCCGCTCTTTCCACTCAGCCACCCAAGGACCTCGGAAGGCAAGAGATTGTAGCTAGTGTGGTCAACTGGTCCAGCATTTGCACAGTCATTTCAGGTCAGCCTTACCAGGATGCCCTGTGATCTTCAGGGGAGAAAGTGCATGCCAAAACAGTGCTTGCAGAGTACTTCCTCTGAAGAATTGATGTGCTCCCGTTTTCCCAGCTTTGGGGGCAGTGTTGCTGCACTCCCAGCCTTCAGAAGCCATGCAGCCTTGCTGTTGGAGAATCATCGGCTAAGGCACCAGACAATGAGAGCGGGGACTTTGTCTGGCAAAGGAAACCCCCGTGTTTCCTTTCATTAAGTGTAAACACGCCACTTGCAAGTGCCTTTCTGCAGCTAAGTGCTCAGAAGAGGTGAGGGTTTTAAAGAAAGCTGAAACTTCACGGGTGGGAATTGCGGGAGCAATTCCCAGGAGTGAATGCCTTTTGCTGCATGTGATGATAACTAGCCACCCAACTACTTCTCATAAAAATTAAATGCCAAGTCTCCTGGAGATGAGAGGGAGCAAATCCATGGTGTTTGTGGTAAAACTGTGAGATTTGGCAACATTGCCAACTGCTGTGTTGATAATTGGTAGGTCTTGCTCTGCAGGTGGGATCCAGGCCACAATCCAGGCCACAATTCAGGCAGATGTGGCCTGCAAACATGGGCATGCATTGCAGGGAGACTGGAGTGGTGTAACTGCTGTTCTGTTGATGCTGATGTTGTAAAATGCACCCGCTTGAGCTGATGACTTGCTGTGCTAAGAGATCTGAAGCTGTGCTGTGAAGTTGGAGCCTTCAGTCTCCTTTTGTATGCTTTGTGATGGAACTCTTGGGGAAGAAGGTGAAAGGCCAACATCACACCTTACACAGCAGTCTATCGCTTCGCTAGCAACACTTGCACTCTCCAGGAAAAGTCGCTTTGCTCACCTGTGAGAAATAGAAGATCTTTTGCTTCCAGAAGCAGAGACGTGGCCCTGAGGTGCTGAAATCCTGCCTGTGTCATTTGAAGTGCTACATGCAACTTGACCCCCTGGAAAGGAAAAGGGAAGAGTAAAAGCATGATGGAAATTGTAACTCCAAGACTCTTTTGAAAATGATAGTGAATCACAAGCATCCTTTCTTTGTCAATCCTAGAGTGGGGACTTTAGAAGTTGCATGAATTTTCAAACACAAGGGCCAGATTGCTTCCAGATTCTCCAGAGTCCTTCAGAACTGGCACTTCCACAGGAGCAGAAAAAATACTTGGACACAAAGCCCTCATGCTACAGAAGCCATTGTAGCACCGAGCTTTGTACACTTGTGTGACAACCTGTTTGCTTTCTCACAGCCATCAATACAGGGATGAGGCTCCTCACGTGGCTCCTTCGGGAGCACACTGATTAGCAGCACAAGATCCTAACTGTAGATTCCTCTTGCCTAAAACCAGAGGAAAATTCTACACACTGGGAGGACAGCTGCTTCTCTTGTGGTCTCTGTGCTGATGTACAGAGATGGACAGATGGAAAAGTGAGGATAGGCTAACAGGGCATAACACATGTACACACGTATGCAGGTATGTGTACACTATATATACATATAATAGATGTACATAACACACATGTATACATATAATTGAGTATAACTTATGTACACACATCTGCAGGTTCACAGATGCACAGTAAGGCAGTTCTGTTTCTCTCAACACAATTCAATCCTCACACGCTGCTCGCAAGAACCACGGCACAGAGAACGCAAGCCCCTGCCAAAGCTGATCTCTCTATGCAAGCACAGAAATACCACAGAATTTAGGCATGGATGTTTATAGCAAAATTTGTCTAAAGCTAATCAAATATCTACAGTGATGCACACTTCAAACTGTTCTAAGCAGAATCACTCCGGGGGAAACCATGACTTCTAGGTGAGTAATTTGGCCAGCACAAAACAGCCAGCAAGAGCAGAAAATTTGCTGCAGTAAACATACAAATTGCAAAGCACGTTCTTCATGAAGTTTGATGAAGCCCTGTGTCAGTTAATTGGCTGGTACCTTCTAGTGAAAGATTTCTAGTGCATTTATTTCCCAGCTAGTTCACAACAGCAGAAAGATGTCCTGCCAGTGCTCATTTGAAAGACTTAGACACGTTCATGCTGTCGGACATGCTTCCTAGTACATATAGGGATGAATTTCCTTTGTGTCTTTAAATTGCACTTATTCTTTGGACAAAAGGGAGGAATATGCTCAAAGCTGCGCCTGTGGGTCCCCTCACCTTGCAGGGTAACTAAGTGTGAATGGCATGTCAGTGAGGCTGACCTTCCTACATTGGATTCCATTTTTTTACACCTTCTCTTTTTTTCTTCTTTTCTACCTTTTCCCACTGCTTTTCCCTCTGCTTGTCCTGACTGCGAGAGGGGCAGAAAATTTTCAGAACTTTTTCTCATGCATTTCATAGGTTGCTCTTTTCTTATCCCATTCCTAATGTTTACCATATATTTTGTATTTACAGGATTTTATTAAGGTCTTGGCAAATTTGACATTTACGAGCTCAAGGACCTGCTTCTAACCTCTACCTTTGCCTGCCTTGTCTTTTAGAAGAAACTAATGTCAGGCTTTCCACCCTTCACTGTGAGGGTCTTTCGAAAATTAAAATGTGCTGGTTTTGCAAAGACAGAATGTACTGCAAAAGGGATCCTAATTCCCAACTTGTAGATAAGTGCAGCAAAGCAAAACCCCACCAAAGGTTCTCGAGGTGTAGAATAAAGCCTCTCTCACTTTTAGAACTCTAGATTGCTGCAGTGAACATTTCAAAAGGCATGTGACTATAAACCTGCTTATTAATTTTAGACTAAATGCAATACAATCTATCATGTAGCCATAAAGAACAGGACTAATTTTGTACTTACATTTTTATTTTAAATTAACAAATCTGTAAATCTTCAGAGATACTGTTTGTGATCTCCAGAATTACTTGCTAAATTCAGGTGTATTCTTAAAAACAAATGGACAGGTTCTTTTGTGGTTTTGGTTGTGGAGCTTACATCTGATCACAGAGACACAAGATTTGATCTCTCCGGACAGATTTAGGACAGTTTTGTGAAGAAAAACAGTACTTATTTCCATCTTAATACATTTCCAATATCGCACCTCAGACCAGAGGTGGCTTAAGGTCTGTGGGGACCCAAGTCTGGGCCCTGGTTTTGCAATGTTCCTGTGGTGTGATTTGCACATAAGATCACAAGGTTTGGACCTTATTGTCTCTAAATCCAATCCTCTCCGATCCAGTTTCTGCTACTTCCTTTTTTTCTCTTTACTTCAGCTTTTTCTCTCTTCTTCATTTCTTGAGCATTTGAACTTCTTAATCTTTTTCCCCTTCTTTTTCCATCAGGCACTCCACTGATGGAAACATATGCCAACTTTTATTCTTCCACAAAAGATGGAGGAACAGTCTGAGCAAGTTACGGTCTGTTTCACATGGGGAAGGGAATGAAGCCACCCCAGGCAGTGCTCCAAGAAAGACTGGAGCCAACAAATACGTGAGAACTTTTCAAAGCACAAAGGCAGAATGAGGGAAGGCACCCATTAGACCTGTTGTTTGTGAACAGAGAAGGACTGGTGGGTGCTGTGATGGTTGGAGGCCATCGGGCTCAGCCATCATGAAATCATCATTTGGGATTCTCAGAGAAGGAAGGATTGGGAGCAGCAGAACTCTGGGCTTTGAAGTTTGAGAGTTCTGGGGCTTTTTCATTCCAGCTGGAAGTCCTGACTGGGTACACTTGTCTGTGGTGAGGACGATTCTACAGTCTGCTGTAAGAGTAGAAAGTGGCACACTCCCTGCGAGTAAACTTTTTCTTTTTAATTTATTTTGATTGAGTTTCAAGAACAGGCTGGAGAGGGCACTGGTAGGGTCGCCTTCCCTGGAGGCATTTAAAAGACATGTAGATGAGGCACCTGGGGATATGGTGGGCTTGGCAGCGCCAGGTTAAAGTGTGTGAACTGATAATATGAGCACTGTTTGCCTGTCGCCTCCTCTCTCCTCTTCAGGACTTTCAGGGGCTTGAAACAGAAAAGAGATTTCCTGAAGAAAGAAAATGGAAGCAGCAAGTTACATCTCACAGGTCTTGCTCTTTGCAGTCTGGCCTTGACTGGTTTAAAAGTGAGAGGAGGACGAGGGTGGAATGATGCTTCTGAACTTTGGAACGCTCGTGTGTTTTCTGTGTTCCTAAGCCTGCCTTCCTGTGGCCTGTCCACCACCTGATCTATTTGGTCTCTGCCTCATAACTCCCTTTTTTGAAGGGACTTGCCCATTTTGGCCCATTGGTTTCCTCCTCCTCCCACCTTCTAAGTGCTCCCACCTTCTCTTTGAACTTGCTTTTCTGTCCGTCTGTCTTTCTTTACGCCCATTACGGCCTGACCTCTGTGGCTCACGGATGTGCACAGGGAAGCTCCCAGGGGTGTGACATAGGACCAAAAGGCTTCTTTGAGCTGTCAGAGCACTGCAGCAGCACACTGATAAGAAGGGACAATTAATACGGGATAAGTAAAGCAACTTTTCATCCACAGAATTTCAGTGTAGACCTGGGGCTTTCAGCAAGTGCATCAGTTTTCAAATGACACCCTCACCTGTAAGGTGGAGCCCAAGATTTCCTCCAAGCCTTGGGCACTCTCAGCTTGTTTTCCGAGTCCCTGTGTTCTGTAATATTTACAGCAGAGAACCTGCAGAGCTACAGGAGCTCAACAAAGAGACCTCCTCAGCAGCTGTGGTACACCCCAGTGTAAGGAGTTGGAGAGCTGAAAGGCAGATTTGTTACCACGCAGTGTTCCCTGGGAAGCTGGAAATCAATTGTATCAGGGTGTGCCTTTGAATCACACACCAGCGACCATTGCACCAAATGTGTTTGCCTTACTAAGCACTACAAGCCCAGGATAAAGCTTCTAAAGGACACTCTGTTGTCCACCACCAGAGGGTAGTCCCTTGATGTCTGCACTAAATCACCAGGAAAACAAGCTAAGCCTCAAATCCTTATTCCATGGAAGGGCAGAGCTCATTTCCAGAGGAGTTTTGTGCCCTTTCTTTCCTTCCATTGACATTCCTTTCTTTTCTTTTTCAAGCTGGGTCCTGCTTTTAGCTCTAGATTTTGACAGAGACCAATTGCACCTGATTTTCATGGGGATGAAATGTCTGCAAGTCATCCTACAGGTAGTGTGGGATCTTGGGGCAGATCTGTGAGGCTGTGGTTTTTGGCTCTTCTAAACCCACAGTCTTGGGCTTTCCATGTACAGGGCATTCCAGGGCAGTGGGACAGGCTTCCAGTGACAGAGGAGAATTTTCCAGCATTTTTTTGGCATTAGCTGTAGAGAACATTCAGGGGCTCTGCATACATCTGCAAGCAAAGCTAGAGCAGCTGCTGTTGTGATGTCACTGGAACCGTTGTCCTGGTGCACGGACCGTTGTCCTGGTGCATGGAGTGTTGTCCTGGTGCACGGACCGTTGTCCTCATGCACGGAGTGTTGTGCTGGTGCACGGACCGTTGTCCTCGTGCATGGAGTGTTGTCCTGGTGCACAGACCGTTGTCCTCGTGCACGGGAGCCTCCGTGTGCACAGTGTGTTTGGCGTGCTCGTAGCGGGAGGGTGCTCCTCATCGAGGCACTCACCTCCAGCAGGCTGCACTTGGACACCCGGGGTGTCCTTTTCTTCCTTGGCGTGCACAGGCTGTGGAATTCTTGCCCAGCATGGCTAAAGTGTTCCATCGAATCTGTGCCGCCTTTCGCCGGGTTTTTCCTATGGCCTATGCTTTTTGTTCCCACCCAGACAAACCCGGGCTGCTGACCCATCTAGCAAGTAAGTAGAGGTTTTCTCCAGGTGCAGCCGACCTGGCTTTTGGATCGAAGTGTTGTTTATGCTGCCCCTTAGTGACTGCATTGCCTTTGAAACCAAAATGCCCCACAGATACCATGATTTTGGTAAAGCTCATGTCAGGGGCATCAGCTCCAAAGGGGGTGTCTCCAGCCATTCAAGGGGGTGTGGGCAGCATTTGCAATTGAACCCACAGGGTTCTGTGCCCTACACGGGTTAGTCCGTGGCAGCGGAGTCTGTAATTTCCTCAGTTGCTGCTTCAGCCAATACAACTTCCCAAATGCAGATTGGCAGAGCTCCTCAGAAGTCCCTCTAAAGACTGTGCAGTTCTCTCCAGTTTTTCCCTAAATTCCATCATTCATAGGTTGGGCAGTGTGACCTGCCACAATGTTTGCTCAAATAGCTCTTGCTTTGGTGATGAAATGCAAAGTTGAAGCAGTGTGTGGTCCCAAACTTGGGAGCTGTTTGTGTGCTGTGTCAGAAGAGAAGTGTCATGGCTAAGGGGAAGTTGGGGGCAGCTTTATTGGGGAAAAGAAAAGCAAAGAAGAGAAAGGAAGAGAAACAGGAAAAGAAAAAGGAAAAGAAGAAAGGGAGGGGGAGGGGGAGGGGTGGGGCAGTGGGTAGGGCAGGGGGTGGGGCAAGGGGGTGAGGGGGCAGAGTAAGTGGCGGGTAAGGGGGCGGGGCAAAGGGGCGGGTAAGGGGGCGGGGCAATAGGAGATGTGAGGGGGCGGGGCAAGGGGCGGGTAAGGGGGCGGGGTGAGGCGGGGCGAGGCGAGGAGAGGAGAGTTGTTTTAGCTCTTGGGTACAAGAAATCGATGACTGGGAGGGGGAGGTGGAAGGGGAGGAGCAGGGGCGGGGCAGGGTGCAGGGCGAGGGTGGAGATGAGGGATGGGGCAAGGGGTGGGGTAAGGGGTGGGGTAAGGGGTGGAGAAAGGCAGGGCAGGGCAAGGTGGGGCCAGGTGAGGCAAGGCGAGGCGAGGCAAGGAGACGAGAGCTGTTTTAGCTCTTGGGCAGAAGAAATCAATGACTGTCAAAGGACAATGTGCCTTTTCTTGACCGAGTTTCTCTTTATTTGATTTAGAATAAGAAAAATAGAAACTGCCCTGGCAAAACAGGGCAGAAAACTAGGCCCAAGAAGCTGTAGCAAAACAACAACCTGCTATATTGTGCTGTTCTCTTGCTCCCTGTGTGAAAGAACTGTGCTACTGAAGGGATGTTGTGAAAGAAAAATGCTCTCCATTTGGGTTGACTTTTTCCATGGGATTCCCCACAACAGCCAGTTTTCTAACATCTGCTTCATTTTCCTTTCCCCATTGCAGGAAAATATGTGTTTAGAAACAGAAGAGGCCGTCCTTCGGTGAGTGACAAAGTAATCCTGACATTCCTAGCCTTTCAGACTTGTGTAGCTAGCCCTGACTTCGCTTGTTGCAATCGACTGCCAGCCCTCCAGGCAGAAAGAAAGTCTTCTCAGTGTCTTTGCATCAGAAGAAAAGGGTTCCCTGGCTGGTTTTTATTTGTCTCTTGGAGGCCTTTTAAGTAGATGACAGTCTGGTTTTGCAGACAGAAAGTTTCTTGCTGCTTTTAGCCATGGGGGAACAACAGCAGTTCACAACAAGATGCACTGCTGTCTAATTAGCCCCCTTGCTTAGCTGGAGCAAAGGTTATGATTTCTCCTTAGTACAGCTGGATAGATAGCTGCATAGAAATAAGGTTCTAAATGATATGTGACTCCCTGTTGCTCACACTGCTGTCTGTCCACAGAGGAAACTACCTCGAGCTGACCCTCCTCAGGCTCCTTCTCTTCCTTCCCTTTATGAGGATACAGAGGAGGAAGACAACAACGAAGCTCCACCTGTTGCTGCACCAGAGCCTGAACAGCCAAACTCTGTAAGAGCCAGCTTTGCCTAGCACTCTCATTACTGTAATTCAGAGCTGCCTGTTTCAGACCAGACAGCACTTGCCCCTCATGGCTGAAAATCCTGAGGGCTGGAATCCTACCATAACAAAGTGTTTCCTCCCCCCATCCACTGACATTTGGAAAATGGGTTCTGAACTTTCAAGTTCAGTCATCGTTTTCCTGGCATTCTGACAGGGCCCACGAGTTTCTCTCTGTATGGGATGAGAGGTAGCCTTGTGTCTGTAAATGGGGAGACACTTAGCCTGCAGTGTCTGCGCAGCCTCCCTGTCACCAGCGGAGCGAGCGCTCCAAAGGCACAGTTCACAGCCTTGCTGCATGTGGATACCTGGGAGAAACTGTCCCGTGCAGGTCCCTGCCCTCCTCCATGCACTATTTAAGGGGCTAAATGGACACTTTAAACTACACCCATAACTTTTACATGACCAAAGTTGGGTGAGAAGAGTCCTACGCAGCTCGGCCATGGCAAGAGGAGGTCGGTCTCTGAGAAGGGCTGGAACTTAATGGCTGTTCCCTAAAGCTTGAAATACTGATGAGAAGTATCTCTGCAAGCCTCCTTTCTGACGCAAACTGATTTCTTGTCACAGACCAATACATGCTCTGGAACAAAATCTTCCACTGCCCTGGAAGCTGCTGCACTGGAAGCCGCTGACAAAGACAACACTCCCACACCTGAGATCACCTACATGAGCACTTCCAGCAGTTCCTGCAGCAGCACCAACGAGCAGCAAAAGACGGTAGAGGAGGACAGCCTCGAGAAATTGAGTATGTCTTCTGCATTTCTTGCCTCATAGGGCAGTGCTAATGTTCCTAGACAACAAACACTTGCCTTGCTACCTGTTCTTTTCTGTCTCCTCAGAATGTTTCTCCCTCTTTCTCCCAGTTTCCTGTCAACATAACTCTTCAAAGGACTGTAGAAAACCAGTCTTTGTGGAAGCCATCTGGACTACAGATCTGCCTCTCTTCTTCTTCTTGTTATTGTTGTTGTTGTTACCCAACTGACTTCAGCTCACAGCCCCAGGCAGAGGAGCTGCAGTTCTGACCTGCTGGAGGCTGGTATCATCATCCTGAAGTGACCATCATTCATTTGCTTTTTTCAGGGAGCATTGTGAGTGTGGGAGATCCTATGAAGAAGTACGTTGAATGGGAAAAAATTGCCAGTGGGTAAGTCTGATCACAGTTCCTTCCACAAAGCCAGGTATTTTGCTGGTGCAAGGTCAGGCGGGAAGTCAGACAGGCTCCAAGCATGTTCAGACACTGTGTTTAGATCCTTCTGCCTCTCAGTGCTGATCCCAATTTAGAACTCTGGCAAGATGCCATCGACAAAGACAACTGCTTGCGGAAAACAATAGTCAGTGGTCAGCAGTATAACCACATCGTTTAAAAATGGAAAACAGAGATAAAAAAGAAACTTTCTTTTGTAGCAGAAGTAGTAAAACCTAATTCAGTAATAGACCCAGTGTCAAGGCAGTTGAGAGGAAAATGCATCCTGATGATGGCAAATTACCTCAAAGGTGGCTGGAGACTGGTTTCCTTACAGGCTGGAGAAAGCCATTTCTAGATCCTTTCCTCACATGTGTTCAGGCTTCTCAGAATAGGGTGTTGCCTGAGATTGGCAGAGACCTTCAAAGGAGGGATCTGAGAACAAAGCAGTTAGAGGTCTGAGCACTCAGCAAGGCCAAATGGAAAAAGAAGGAAATATATTCCTTTCCAGTTTTTGTGGACATGCTCCCCCAACTTAGGGAGGGGTCTGAATTAAGTTAATCTGGGCTGTACACTTGAGATTTTCTCCAGCCCTTCATGTTGCACCCAAGTTTTCTCTTGGATACCCTGCATGGCACAGGGCCGGTAGGCTGCTCTGCTCTTGGCTGAAGCATACATGGAGCCAGGTGATTTAGAAACACTCCAGGCAGCAGACATCTCCTGTCTGGGCTGGCTTTCATTCTTTTCTTCGCTGCTGTTTTCTTTCTAGTGGCTTCGGAACAGTCTATGCAGCGACCGACACTGCCACAGGAGGAGAGGTAAGTGTCAACATGCCCAGCAGATTTTGCAGCTCTGAAGTGCTTTCCATTCTGAGGAGAGCTGTGGCTGGAGCTTTGGGTCCCCAGCAGATCGTTCCTGCAAAGGCTGTTCCTCTGAAGCGCAGACTAATGCCAGCCTACCAAATCCATTTGGGACAGCTCTTAGGGGCTACAGCTTCAGACTTCTGAAATCGCATTTCTGGCTGTCAGCAAATACCTCTGGATCTTCTGGGGAGTTTCTCATCCCCCATGCAGTGCTGGGCTTTGGAACTGGGCTTGGATAGAGGTCTGTGAGGGATCAAAAGCCCTAAGCCCTGATCCTAACCCGGAGCATACCCAGAAAATGCCAGAGAGCATGTTCTTTCTTTCTCAATCCAGGAAACAATTACAAATCTAAACTGCGTTCAAGAGTGTTCTTTAGAGTTGCAAAATCAAATTTTGGTCTGATCTTGTGCAAGAGACTTCCCAAGTTAATGGTTTTCAATGTCATTTTAGGTGGCCATAAAGCAAGTGTGTCTCCAAAAACAGCTCAAAAAGGAACGAATTGTCGATGAGCTCATTGTCATGAGGGACAACAAGCATCCAAATATTGTTAACTATTTAGACAGGTAAGTAGTTTGGGTATGATCATGTGACTGTTCCTTTACAGACTGCAAGCCAAAGGTTAAAAGAACCCCCTTTGGTCTCTGGCAGAGAAGTCAGCTTTCTAGTATTATTTTTTATCTATTCCTATACAATGTATGGGAGGAGAGTGCATTTTGTCTGCATTCATCTTTTCTGGCATGCATTGTTTCAAGTCATCCCTATCTTCCTAAAACAACAGCCTGGAAGTTCATTACTACCAGGTCAGTTTTGCTGTTTGTTTGGGGAGTCTTTTTAAGTTAATCATATTTTCTGTCTCTTATGACAACTGCTGATAAAGCATCATAGGGATTATTTCCCTGCGTTTTTCACTCCCTTGCCATCTGAGACATCTCAGTTTTCATGGATGTGCCTTTCTCACTTAGACTACACAGGTTCCAAGGAGTGTATAGCCTAGGAGGAATGTCTCTGCATTTTATTCCGTGTTCATTCCCAACTCTTCCAAGAACAGAAATCGACTTCAGTATTTAGGTAGGGTAATTTAGCTATGCACATTCTCCCAGCCATTGTTTTCTTCTTTCAGCTACCTGGTTGGAGATAAACTGTGGATAGTGATGGAATACCTAGACGGAGGCTCCTTAAGTGCTGTTGTTAAGGAAATAAGCATGAGTGAAGGAATGATGGCAGCTGTCTCTCGAGAGGTAAGGGATGCCACTGGTGCTTCCAGTTGTTTGGGCAGGCTGGGACTTCTAAACAAGCAGCAAGAACAGGAGTGATTTCATGGTTAGAGCTTTGTTTCCGTGTTGCTTTTGAAGAAAGAGCATCTTCAGTGAATGGCCTGCCAGTACAACTCTTGCTGTACCCTCTCTCTTTTTTCTTATTTTATTTACTATTCGCGACTTTGCCAAATCGTTTGCCTGAACCCTGTCTCTACTGCATTCCCTACCTGTAAGTGCAAACATGCTGGTGGCAGAATTTTATACTAACAGCAAAGAAAAACAGAAACTCATTTGTTGCAGTCCTCAGTTTAAGGGACAGAATTCCACCCAAAATGGTGTGTGACAACAATTGCCGTTTCTCTTTCCAAACCTCCAAAGGGAATGTGCCTTCCCTTAGAAAGGTAGGGGTTTACTAGTGCGGAGGCAGCAGCAAGCTCTTCCTCTTGACACCACCATGGTCTGCCAGTCCTCACCGTTCACCTAGAACTGAAATCTTTAAAGCCATTGCCTTTGTTGGGTGAGGAAATTGGGTCATTCATTTTTACTCTCCTGTTTCTTTTTTCTCTCTCAGTGCCTGCAAGCACTGGCCTTCCTCCATTGCCACCAAGTGATCCACAGGGATCTCAAAGGCGATAACATTCTGCTTGGAATGGATGGATCCGTCAAGTTGGGTAGGTGTTCTTGCTCAGCCGTGCTGTTCCCGGGATGCGGCGCGTGGGGCTGCTGGAGACTGCCTGCCAGTTTCCAAAAAGCGGTGCCTGTGGGAGTGCAGGGAGCACTGCTACAAGCTGAGAGCACACTTGCAACGTGCAGAGAGGAACAAGGTGTCCTTGGCTACAGCCCTGAGGAAACAGAGCATGGCCGCTTTTCCTGCTGGATTCAGCCTCCTCAGGCTTCTAGTGGGCAATTCTTGCACTTGGCTTCATGATTCAGGCTGGCTTTCATGATACTGGCTTTTGTCCTCAGCTGATTTTGGTCTCGCTGCTCGCATCACACCTGAGCAGAGCAAACGAAGCTCAGTCGTTGGCACAGTTCACTGGATGGCCCCCGAATATCTAACTAAAGAAGAATACGGACCCAAAGTGGATATTTGGGCACTGGGCATCACAGTGATAGAAATGCTGGAAGGAGAACCTCCTTATTTTTGGGAGCTTCCTCGCAGGGTAAGGTGCAAATACTACCAGATAACCACTGTCTTTCTCATCTGTCCCATGTTTTGCCTCCATTGAGAAAAAATACCATTCCCACCAGCTTGAACAAGTTCAACCAAGGCCGAGGCAACAAAAAAAGGGCCCCAGAGCACATCCACATCCTCTATAGCTTTAGTTGCGTCACTCTTGAAAATAACCTGTAAAGCCTGTAAAGTCCATCCTCAGAGAAGCAAAAGGTGCTTTTGCTGATGGAGTTCCTCCTAACTTGGTCAGCCAATGAAATCAGCTATCAAGGCAAGATCATTTGGATGTTGGAAGACCTGGGGCTGCACTGGGGCCTTTTTCTTGGTGTCAAAAAATCATTTTGAACCCTCTGCCTGGGAAGAAACTGCCACTGGAAGATGGAGCATCAAAAATGGGGTCTGTGGGAGCAGTTAGGGAGATGAAAGAAAGAGGTAAAGTCCCGTGTTTCCTTTTCCTCCAGGCCATGCAGCTCATCATTTCAAAGGGGATACCGGAGCTGCAAAGCCGCGAAAACCTGTCCCCTGCATTGCAGGACTTTCTGAACCGCTGCTTGCAGGCAGACGAGGACAGTCGATGGTCTGCTGAGGAACTTCTGCAGGTAAAATGCAGAGTGGCTGCCAGTGACACAACTGTCCCATGCATCGGTGTTCTCGTCTGCTAAACTCCAAGGCATCAGGTGCCCCCGCCTCGTATTAATCCCCAGAAGTGCTCTGTCCTCTGATCATTTTGGTGGCCCTGATTTGGATCTAAGGGAGCTGTTCAGTTTTGTCTGGTTCCTAATGCCAGGAACGGAGCCCTGAAATGGTGCTGGTGGTGGAGGAACCCAATAAAATCAGTGCCTGCCAAGTGGTCTGAGAACTTGGCTGTGGGAAGGAAGGGGCTGGGGGCAGCTCCCCGTGAGCCCAAATCCTTTCTTGGTGATAAACATTTCTTGGTGACCTTGAGTTTCCTGAAGAGCAGCTTATGCTCCTCATCTTTTTTGACTTCTAGAATAGCCCATGTCTTTAGGAAACAGGAACCTAAGTAAGTATTTAGAGTTTCCTGAAAGGACCTAAGCCCTGGGACAGCAAGCAGCATTCCCACAGCCCTGGCAGGGCAAATATCCCATCGAGCTTGAGAAAGGGGTTAATAGGATTATGGGCCACGTCTGCCTGTCATAACGAGGTCCTGGACATGAAGACAGAGGTGCAGATGGTCCCCTCAGTCCTATTTCTGCACATCTCTGGTAACCCGAGGAACACTGCTTGAGCTCGTGAGGAACTGAGGTTGGAAAGTAATGGTCCATTTCTTTTCTTTTCCTTTGGGCAGCATCCATTTTTACTCTCAGCCATGCCCCTCTCCGGCCTCACAACTGTGATCAATGCAGCAAACCAGCTGAGGGAGGCCAGCAGACAGAGGAAGGGTTTTGGCATGCCTTCCTCCAGTTCCATCGATGGGTGGAACTCAGAACAAAACTGAAGGAGCCTCACCCCAGTGAATACCCTGGGGGAGTTCCACAGAGGAGGGGGCGCTTAGGAGTCGATTAGGGCACAGGGCATCACCACCAGCAGGTGGTGAGCAACTGCATTGTACATTGCTTGTTTTGCTTGGGTTTCATCTCTTTCTCCGTTTTACTACTGTTACAATTAGGATTTGCATTAGTATCACTATTAGAGTTTGTATTAGTATTAGTGTTAGTATTACTATTTGTATTCATATTGGATTTTACTCTGTTTCAATTATTAAACTGTTCTTATCTCAACATACGAGTTTTGCTTGGGTTTCATCTCTTTCTCCGTTTTACTACTGTTACAATTAGGATTTGCATTAGTATCACTATTAGAGTTTGTATTAGTATTAGTGTTAGTATTACTATTTGTATTCATATTGGATTTTACTCTGTTTCAATTATTAAACTGTTCTTATCTCAACATACGAGTTTTGCTTGGGTTTCATCTCTTTCTCCGTTTTACTACTGTTACAATTAGGATTTGCATTAGTATCACCATTAGAGTTTGTATTAGTATTAGTGTTAGTATTACTATTTGTATTCATATTGGATTTTACTCTGTTTCAATTATTAAACTGTTCTTATCTCAACATACGAGTTTTGCTTGGGTTTCATCTCTTTCTCCGTTTTACTACTGTTACAATTAGGATTTGCATTAGTATTACTATTAGTGTTTGTATTAGTATTAGTGTTAGTATTACTATTCGTATTCATGTTGGATTTTACTCTGTTTCAATTATTAAACTGTTCTTATCTCAACATACGAGTTCTACTTCTGATTTTCCTCCCTGTTCCACTGGGGAGGGGGATGGGGATGGGGATGGGGATGGGGATGGGGGGGAGCAAGCGGCTGTGTGGTGCTTACTTACCAGCCCAGCTGGTAACTTAAACCACAACACTTCACCAGCACGTGATTCTTCAACGAGTCCAACTATTCTGTCACCTTTTCTTCAAATGAGATTTACAATCTTGGTATCATAAAAATCACCATCAACACACCCGTGATTCATGTAATTCAGTTATGCACACACTGCACTGAGAAGTCCACTTACTATTTTTAAACTTGGTCCTTCTTAATTTCACTGTGCTCAGTTTTTCGGCCTACTAGTTAGAACAAAAAAGATAAGTATAAGGCATTCCCTAGCATTAATGATTTCACAGGATCAGAGAGTTGTACAATATCCCAAGTTGGAAGGGACCCACAAGGATCGAGTCCAACTCCTGGCCCCCCACAGGACAGCCCCAAGAATCACACCATGTGCCTGAGAGCGTAGTTCAAATGCTTCTTGAACTCTGTCACAATTGGGGCCGTGACCACTTCCCTGGGGAGTCTGTTCCAGTGCCCAATCACCCTCGGGGGGAAGAACCTTTGCCTGATATCCAGCCTAAACCTGCCCTGACACAGCTTCATGTCATTCCCTCGGGACCTCTCACTGGTCACCACAGAGATCAGTGCCTGCCCCTCTGCTTCCCCTCACGAGGAACTTGTAGACCACAATGAGGTCTCCCCTCAGGCTTCTCTTCCCCAGGCCGAACAAGCCAAGGGACCTCAGCGGCTCCTCCTAAGGCCTCCCCTCAAGGCCCCTCACCCTCCTCCTGGGCCTCCTTTGGACACTCGCCAAGAACTTTATATCTCCCTTCTATTGGTCACCCACAAGCTGAGGCCACACCAGCACAGAGGGGAGCAGGACAATCACCTCCCTCCACCAGCTGGCAATGCTGTGCCTGATGCACACATACATCTATCTGATGATAAACCCTTCCCAGCAGTTGAGGGGGAACTGAAATCAAACTATTTAGGCAAATTCCGCTCTCACTTCCACCTCTGAAGCCTTTTTGTCTGTTTTGGTTGGTTGGTGTTTGTGTTTCTGTTTTGGTTGGTTTGTTTGTTTCTTTGATCGAGTTCCCAACCTGCTTTTCACTTCAGAGTAGCCTGTGAAACAAATGGCCTTCGGACAAGGACCGGGCACAGGAGCTGGGCACAGCCTGGAGCTGGCTCTCCCGCTGGCTCTGCCTGGGCCAGCAGGGACCTGGGCCAGGGCAGAAATTCCCGCTGCTGCCTGAGGCCAGCACACAAGGCATCGACAGCAAAGGAGAAGCCCTTCCTGAAGGAGTCCCGGCTCCCTCAGGCTGGGCCTAAGGCATCCCGGTATCCCGCCCACTGCCCCGCCGGACAACACTGTGTTCTCAAAAAGCAATGGACACTGTCAGCGTTTAGGCAAGAACATACCTGAAACTCCTTCCCCAGAGATGCTTGCTGCCTTCACACAGAATCACTGAATTTTTAGCGTTATACAGGACCTCGGGAGATTCTCCGGTCCAACCCCTCTGCCAAGACAGGGTCCCCCAGAGCAGACTACACAGGAACATGTCCTGGTGGGTTTTGATGTCTCCAGACAGGGAGACTCCACGACCTCCTTGGGCAGCCTGCTCCTGTGCTCTGCCACCCTCAACATAAAGAACTTCTCCCTCATGTTGGAGTGAAACTTTTGTGGTTTAGTTTATGGCCATCGCTTCCTGTCCTGTGCAGAATCACACACCATCCTCTAGGCACCCACCTTTGAGATTTTTATATGCATAAATGAGACCCCTCTCGGTCTTCTCGAGACTAAACAGGCCCAGCTCCCACAGTCTCTCCTCAGAAGAGAGATGCTCCAGACTCATCATCATCTTCATTTCAACTGATGCTGCAGCCTCTGCTTATTCTGAAATATAGCAGGAGACCGCCTGGTTTTATAAGAAGAAAGCAAGAGAAGAAAATTCCAGCTGCATTTCAAAAAAATCAAACACTGCTTCTCCTTCTGGCTGGCAGGTGTTGACTGTAAGGAATCTGTCTTCAGGAGGGGAAATGACATTTAGTCAGAGCATCAGGAAAATGTAAAATATATATATATAGTCACCTGTCCTTCAGCACGGAAAAAAATCAGATAAAAAGGAATGTATTACAGCATAGAATAAAGCAGTATAGAATAAAGACAGGTCTTGCTGCACAGGGCATCATGTTTCCCAAACAGCACCTTCACGCGTAAGAATACCACCTCCAAAACAGACTTCTTTTTTGGGCATAGCAATTGCTGATCAGCAATAAATGGCTGCCTGCTCTTTCCACTCAGCCACCCAAGGACCTCGGAAGGCAAGAGATTGTAGCTAGTGTGGTCAACTGGTCCAGCATTTGCACAGTCATTTCAGGTCAGCCTTACCAGGATGCCCTGTGATCTTCAGGGGAGAAAGTGCATGCCAAAACAGTGCTTGCAGAGTACTTCCTCTGAAGAATTGATGTGCTCCCGTTTTCCCAGCTTTGGGGGCAGTGTTGCTGCACTCCCAGCCTTCAGAAGCCATGCAGCCTTGCTGTTGGAGAATCATCGGCTAAGGCACCAGACAATGAGAGCGGGGACTTTGTCTGGCAAAGGAAACCCCCGTGTTTCCTTTCATTAAGTGTAAACACGCCACTTGCAAGTGCCTTTCTGCAGCTAAGTGCTCAGAAAAGGTGAGGGTTTTAAAGAAAGTGGAAACTTCACGGGTGGGAATTGTGGGAGCAATTCCCAGGAGTGAATGCCTTTTGCTGCATGTGATGATAACTAGCCACCTAACTACTTCTCATAAAAATTAAATGCTAAGTCTCCTGGAGATGAGAGGGAGCAAATCCATGGTGTTTGTGGTAAAACTGTGAGATTTGGCAACATTGCCAACTGCTGTGTTGATAACTGGTAGGTCTTGCTCTGCAGGTGGGATCCAGGCCACAATCCAGGCCACAATTCAGGCAGATGTGGCCTGCAAACATGGGCATGCATTGCAGGGAGACTGGAGTGGTGTAACTGCTGTTCTGTTGATGCTGATGTTGTAAAATGCACCCGCTTGAGCTGATGACTTGCTGTGCTAAGAGATCTGAAGCTGTGCTGTGAAGTTGGAGCCTTCAGTCTCCTTTTGTATGCTTTGTGATGGAACTCTTGGGGAAGAAGGTGAAAGGCCAACATCACACCTTACACAGCAGTCTATCGCTTCGCTAGCAACACTTGCACTCTCCAGGAAAAGTCGCTTTGCTCACCTGTGAGAAATAGAAGATCTTTTGCTTCCAGAAGCAGAGACGTGGCCCTGAGGTGCTGAAATCCTGCCTGTGTCATTTGAAGTGCTACATGCAACTTGACCCCCTGGAAAGGAAAAGGGAAGAGTAAAAGCATGATGGAAATTGTAACTCCAAGACTCTTTTGAAAATGATAGTGAATCACAAGCATCCTTTCTTTGTCAATCCTAGAGTGGGGACTTTAGAAGTTGCATGAATTTTCAAACACAAGGGCCAGATTGCTTCCAGATTCTCCAGAGTCCTTCAGAACTGGCACTTCCACAGGAGCAGAAAAAATACTTGGACACAAAGCCCTCATGCTACAGAAGCCATTGTAGCACCGAGCTTTGTACACTTGTGTGACAACCTGTTTGCTTTCTCACAGCCATCAATACAGGGATGAGGCTCCTCACGTGGCTCCTTCGGGAGCACACTGATTAGCAGCACAAGATCCTAACTGTAGATTCCTCTTGCCTAAAACCAGAGGAAAATTCTACACACTGGGAGGACAGCTGCTTCTCTTGTGGTCTCTGTGCTGATGTACAGAGATGGACAGATGGAAAAGTGAGGATAGGCTAACAGGGCATAACACATGTACACACGTATGCAGGTATGTGTACACTATATATACATATAATAGATGTACATAACACACATGTATACATATAATTGAGTATAACTTATGTACACACATCTGCAGGTTCACAGATGCACAGTAAGGCAGTTCTGTTTCTCTCAACACAATTCAATCCTCACACGCTGCTCGCAAGAACCACGGCACAGAGAACGCAAGCCCCTGCCAAAGCTGATCTCTCTATGCAAGCACAGAAATACCACAGAATTTAGGCATGGATGTTTATAGCAAAATTTGTCTAAAGCTAATCAAATATCTACAGTGATGCACACTTCAAACTGTACTAAGCAGAATCACTCCGGGGGAAACCATGACTTCTAGGTGAGTAATTTGGCCAGCACAAAACAGCCAGCAAGAGCAGAAAATTTGCTGCAGTAAACATACAAATTGCAAAGCACGTTCTTCATGAAGTTTGATGAAGCCCTGTGTCAGTTAATTGGCTGGTACCTTCTAGTGAAAGATTTCTAGTGCATTTATTTCCCAGCTAGTTCACAACAGCAGAAAGATGTCCTGCCAGTGCTCATTTGAAAGACTTAGACACGTTCATGCTGTCGGACATGCTTCCTAGTACATATAGGGATGAATTTCCTTTGTGTCTTTAAATTGCACTTATTCTTTGGACAAAAGGGAGGAATATGCTCAAAGCTGCGCCTGTGGGTCCCCTCACCTTGCAGGGTAACTAAGTGTGAATGGCATGTCAGTGAGGCTGACCTTCCTACATTGGATTCCATTTTTTTACACCTTCTCTTTTTTTCTTCTTTTCTACCTTTTCCCACTGCTTTTCCCTCTGCTTGTCCTGACTGCGAGAGGGGCAGAAAATTTTCAGAACTTTTTCTCATGCATTTCATAGGTTGCTCTTTTCTTATCCCATTCCTAATGTTTACCATATATTTTGTATTTACAGGATTTTATTAAGGTCTTGGCAAATTTGACATTTACGAGCTCAAGGACCTGCTTCTAACCTCTACCTTTGCCTGCCTTGTCTTTTAGAAGAAACTAATGTCAGGCTTTCCACCCTTCACTGTGAGGGTCTTTCGAAAATTAAAATGTGCTGGTTTTGCAAAGACAGAATGTACTGCAAAAGGGATCCTAATTCCCAACTTGTAGATAAGTGCAGCAAAGCAAAACCCCACCAAAGGTTCTCGAGGTGTAGAATAAAGCCTCTCTCACTTTTAGAACTCTAGATTGCTGCAGTGAACATTTCAAAAGGCATGTGACTATAAACCTGCTTATTAATTTTAGACTAAATGCAATACCATCTATCATGTAGCCATAAAGAACAGGACTAATTTTGTACTTACATTTTTATTTTAAATTAACAAATCTGTAAATCTTCAGAGATACTGTTTGTGATCTCCAGAATTACTTGCTAAATTCAGGTGTATTCTTAAAAACAAATGGACAGGTTCTTTTGTGGTTTTGGTTGTGGAGCTTACATCTGATCACAGAGACACAAGATTTGATCTCTCCGGACAGATTTAGGACAGTTTTGTGAAGAAAAACAGTACTTATTTCCATCTTAATACGTTTCCAATATCGCACCTCAGACCAGAGGTGGCTTAAGGTCTGTGGGGACCAAAGTCTGGGCCCTGGTTTTGCAATGTTCCTGTGGTGCGATTTGCACATAAGATCACAAGGTTTGGACCTTATTGTCTCTAAATCCAATCCTCTCCGATCCAGTTTCTGCTACTTCCTTTTTTTCTCTTTACTTCAGCTTTTTCTCTCTTCTTCATTTCTTGAGCATTTGAACTTCTTAATCTTTTTCCCCTTCTTTTTCCATCAGGCACTCCACTGATGGAAACATATGCCAACTTTTATTCTTCCACAAAAGATGGAGGAACAGTCTGAGCAAGTTACGGTCTGTTTCACATGGGGAAGGGAATGAAGCCACCCCAGGCAGTGCTCCAAGAAAGACTGGAGCCAACAAATACGTGAGAACTTTTCAAAGCACAAAGGCAGAATGAGGGAAGGCACCCATTAGACCTGTTGTTTGTGAACAGAGAAGGACTGGTGGGTGCTGTGATGGTTGGAGGCCATCGGGCTCAGCCATCATGAAATCATCATTTGGGATTCTCAGAGAAGGAAGGATTGGGAGCAGCAGAACTCTGGGCTTTGAAGTTTGAGAGTTCTGGGGCTTTTTCATTCCAGCTGGAAGTCCTGACTGGGTACACTTGTCTGTGGTGAGGACGATTCTACAGTCTGCTGTAAGAGTAGAAAGTGGCACACTCCCTGCGAGTAAACTTTTTCTTTTTAATTTATTTTGATTGAGTTTCAAGAACAGGCTGGAGAGGGCACTGGTAGGGTCGCCTTCCCTGGAGGCATTTAAAAGACATGTAGATGAGGCACCTGGGGATATGGTGGGCTTGGCAGCGCCAGGTTAAAGTGTGTGAACTGATAATATGAGCACTGTTTGCCTGTCGCCTCCTCTCTCCTCTTCAGGACTTTCAGGGGCTTGAAATAGAAAAGAGATTTCCTGAAGAAAGAAAACGGAAGCAGCAAGTTACATCTCACAGGTCTTGCTCTTTGCAGTCTGGCCTTGACTGGTTTAAAAGTGAGAGGAGGACGAGGGTGGAATGATGCTTCTGAACTTTGGAACGCTCGTGTGTTTTCTGTGTTCCTAAGCCTGCCTTCCTGTGGCCTGTCCACCACCTGATCTATTTGGTCTCTGCCTCATAACTCCCTTTTTTGATGGGACTTGCCCATTTTGGCTCATTGGTTTCCTCCTCCTCCCACCTTCTAAGTGCTCCCACCTTCTCTTTGAACTTGCTTTTCTGTCCGTCTCTCTTTCTTTACGCCCATTACGGCCTGACCTCTGTGGCTCACGGATGTGCACAGGGAAGCTCCCAGGGGTGTGACATAGGACCAAAAGGCTTCTTTGAGCTGTCAGAGCACTGCAGCAGCACACTGATAAGAAGGGACAATTAATACGGGATAAGTAAAGCAACTTTTCATCCACAGAATTTCAGTGTAGACCTGGGGCTTTCAGCAAGTGCATCAGTTTTCAAATGACATCCTCACCTGTAAGGTGGAGCCCAAGATTTCCTCCAAGCCTTGGGCACTCTCAGCTTGTTTTCCGAGTCCCTGCGTTCTGTAATATTTACAGCAGAGAACCTGCAGAGCTACAGGAGCTCAACAAAGAGACCTCCTCAGCAGCTGTGGTACACCCCAGTGTAAGCAGTTGGAGAGCTGAAAGGCAGATTTGTTACCACGCAGTGTTCCCTGGGAAGCTGGAAATCAATTGTATCAGGGTGTGCCTTTGAATCACACACCAGCGACCACTGCACCAAATGTGTTTGCCTTACTAAGCACTACAAGCCCAGGATAAAGCTTCTAAAGGACACTCTGTTGTCCACCACCAGAGGATAGTCCCTTGATGTCTGCACTAAATCACCAGGAAAACAAGCTAAGCCTCAAATCCTTATTCCATGGAAGGGCAGAGCTCATTTCCAGAGGAGTTTTGTGCCCTTTCTTTCCTTCCATTGACATTCCTTTCTTTTCTTTTTCAAGCTGGGTCCTGCTTTTAGCTCTAGATTTTGACAGAGACCAATTGCACCTGATTTTCATGGGGATGAAATGTCTGCAAGTCATCCTACAGGTAGTGTGGGATCTTGGGGCAGATCTGTGAGGCTGTGGTTTTTGGCTCTTCTAAACCCACAGTCTTGGGCTTTCCATGTACAGGGCATTCCAGGGCAGTGGGACAGGCTTCCAGTGACAGAGGAGAATTTTCCAACATTTTTTTGGCATTAGCTGTAGAGAACATTCAGGGGCTCTGCATACATCTGCAAGCAAAGCTAGAGCAGCTGCTGTTGTGATGTCACTGGAACCGTTGTCCTGGTGCACGGACCGTTGTCCTGGTGCATGGAGTGTTGTCCTGGTGCACGGACCGTTGTCCTCATGCACGGAGTGTTGTGCTGGTGCACGGACCGTTGTCCTCGTGCACGGGAGCCTCCGTGTGCACAGTGTGTTTGGCGTGCTCGTAGCGGGAGGGTGCTCCTCATCGAGGCACTCACCTCCAGCAGGCTGCACTTGGACACCCGGGGTGTCCTTTTCTTCCTTGGCGTGCACAGGCTGTGGAATTCTTGCCCAGCATGGCTAAAGTGTTCCGGCGAGTCTGTGCCGCCTTTCGCCGGGTTTTTCCTATGGCCTATGCTTTTTGTTCCCACCCAGACAAACCCGGGCTGCTGACCCATCTAGCAAGTAAGTAGAGGTTTTCTCCAGGTGCAGCCAACCTGGCTTTTGGATCGAAGTGTTGTTTATGCTGCCCCTTAGTGACTGCATTGCCTTTGAAACCAAAATGCCCCACAGATACCATGATTTTGGTAAAGCTCATGTCAGGGGCATCAGCTCCAAAGGGGGTGTCTCCAGCCATTCAAGGGGGTGTGGGCAGCATTTGCAATTGAACCCACAGGGTTCTGTGCCCTACACGGGTTAGTCCGTGGCAGCAGAGTCTGTAATTTCCTCAGTTGCTGCTTCAGCCAATACAACTTCCCAAATGCAGATTGGCAGAGCTCCTCAGAAGTCCCTCTAAAGACTGTGCAGTTCTCTCCAGTTTTTCCCTAAATTCCATCATTCATAGGTTGGGCAGTGTGACCTGCCACAATGTTTGCTCAAATAGCTCTTGCTTTGGTGATGAAATGCAAAGTTGAAGCAGTGTGTGGTCCCAAACTTGGGAGCTGTTTGTGTGCTGTGTCAGAAGAGAAGTGTCATGGCTAAGGGGAAGTTGGGGGCAGCTTTATTGGGGAAAAGAAAAGCAAAGAAGAGAAAGGAAGAGAAACAGGAAAAGAAAAAGGAAAAGAAGAAAGAGAGGGGGAGGGGGAGGGGGAGGGGGAGGGGTGGGGCAGTGGGTAGGGCAGGGGGTGGGGCAAGGGGGTGAGGGGGCAGAGTAAGTGGCGGGTAAGGGGGCGGGGCAAAGGGGCGGGTAAGGGGGCGGGGCAATAGGAGATGTGAGGGGGCGGGGCAAGGGGCGGGTAAGGGGGCGGGGTGAGGCGGGGCGAGGCGAGGCGAGGCGAGGAGAGGAGAGGAGAGGAGAGTTGTTTTAGCTCTTGGGTACAAGAAATCAATGACTGGGAGGGGGAGGTGGAAGGGGAGGAGCAGGGGCGGGGCAGGGTGCAGGGCGAGGGTGGAGATGAGGGATGGGGCAAGGGGTGGGGTAAGGGGTGGGGCAAGGGGTGGGGTAAGGGGTGGGGTAAGGGGTGGAGAAAGGCAGGGCAGGGCAAGGTGGGGCCAGGTGAGGCAAGGCGAGGCGAGGCAAGGAGATGAGAGCTGTTTTAGCTCTTGGGCAGAAGAAATCAATGACTGTCAAAGGACAATGTGCCTTTTCTTGACCGAGTTTCTCTTTATTTGATTTAGAATAAGAAAAATAGAAACTGCCCTGGCAAAACAGGGCAGAAAACTCGGCCCAAGAAGCTGTAGCAAAACAACAACCTGCTATATTGTGCTCTTCTCTTGCTCCCTGTGTGAAAGAACTGTGCTACTGAAGGGATGTTGTGAAAGAAAAATGCTCTCCATTTGGGTTGACTTTTTCCATGGGATTCCCCACGACAGCCAGTTTTCTAACATCTGCTTCATTTTCCTTTCCCCATTGCAGGAAAATATGTGTTTAGAAACAGAAGAGGCCGTCCTTCGGTGAGCGGCAAAGTAATCCTGACATTCCTAGCCTTTCAGACTTGTGTAGCTAGCCCTGACTTCGCTTGTTGCAATCGACTGCCAGCCCTCCAGGCAGAAAGAAAGTCTTCTCAGTGTCTTTGCATCAGAAGAAAAGGGTTCCCTGGCTGGTTTTTATTTGTCTCTTGGAGGCCTTTTAAGTAGATGACAGTCTGGTTTTGCAGACAGAAAGTTTCTTGCTGCTTTTAGCCATGGGGGAACAACAGCAGTTCACAACAAGATGCACTGCTGTCTAATTAGCCCCCTTGAACTTAGCTGGAGCAACTTAGAATCCCCTTGCTATCAAAGGTTATGATTTCTCCTTAGTACAGCTGGATAGATAGCTGCATAGAAATAAGGTTCTAAATGATATGTGACTCCCTGTTGCTCACGCTGCTGTCTGTCCACAGAGGAAACTACCTCGAGCTGACCCTCCTCAGGCTCCTTCTCTTCCTTCCCTTTATGAGGATACAGAGGAGGAAGACAACAACGAAGCTCCACCTGTTGTTGCACCGGAGCCTGAACAGCCAAACTCTGTAAGAGCCAGCTTTGCCTAGCACTCTCATTACTGTAATTCAGAGCTGCCTGTTTCAGACCAGACAGCACTTGCCCCTCATGGCTGAAAATCCTGAGGGCTGGAATCCTACCATAACAAAGTGTTTCCTCCCCCCAGCCACTGACACCTGGAAAATGGGTTCTGAACTTTCAAGTTCAGTCATCGTTTTCCTGGCATTCTGACAGGGCCCACGAGTTTCTCTCTGTATGGGATGAGAGGTAGCCTTGTGTCTGTAAATGGGGAGACACTTAGCCTGCAGTGTCTGCGCAGCCTCCCTGTCACCAGCGGAGCGAGCGCTCCAAAGGCACAGTTCACAGCCTTGCTGCATGTGGATACCTGGGAGAAACTGTCCCGTGCAGGTCCCTGCCCTCCTCCACGCACTATTTAAGGGGCTAAATGGACACTTTAAACTACACCCATAACTTTTACATGACCAAAGTTGGGTGAGAAGAGTCCTACGCAGCTCGGCCATGGCAAGAGGAGGTCGCTCTCTGAGAAGGGCTGGAACTTAATGGCTGTTCCCTAAAGCTTGAAATACTGATGAGAAATATCTCTGCAAGCCTCCTTTCTGACGCAAACTGATTTCTTGTCACAGACCAATACATGTTCTGGAACAAAATCTTCCACTGCCCTGGAAGCTGCTGCACTGGAAGCCGCTGACAAAGACAACACTCCCACACCTGAGATCACCTACATGAGCACTTCCAGCAGTTCCTGCAGCAGCACCAACGAGCAGCAAAAGACGGTAGAGGAGGACAGCCTCGAGAAATTGAGTATGTCTTCTGCATTTCTTGCCTCATAGGGCAGTGCTAATGTTCCTAGACAACAAACACTTGCCTTGCTACCTGTTCTTTTCTGTCTCCTCAGAATGTTTCTCCCTCTTTCTCCCAGTTTCCTGTCAATGTAACTCTTCAAAGGACTGTAGAAAACCAGTCTTTGTGGAAGCCATCTGGACTACAGATCTGCCTCTCTTCTTCTTGTTGTTATTGTTGTTGTTGTTACCCAACTGACTTCAGCTCACAGCCCCAGGCAGAGGAGCTGCAGTTCTGACCTGCTGGAGGCTGGTATCGTCATCCTGAAGTGACCATCTTTCATTTGTTTTTTTCAGGGAGCATTGTGAGTGTGGGAGATCCTATGAAGAAGTACGTTGAATGGGAAAAAATTGCCAGTGGGTAAGTCTGATCACAGTTCCTTCCACAAAGCCAGGTATTTTGCTGGTGCAAGGTCAGGCGGGAAGTCAGACAGGCTCCAAGCATGTTCAGACACTGTGTTTAGATCCTTCTGCCTCTCAGTGCTGATCCCAATTTAGAACTCTGGCAAGATGCCATCGACAAAGACAACTGCATGCGGAAAACAATAGTCAGTGGTCAGCAGTATAACCACATCATTTAAAAATGGAAAACAGAGATAAAAAAGAAACTTTCTTTTGTAGCAGAAGTAGTAAAACCTAATTCAGTAATAGACCCAGTGTCAAGGCAGTTGAGAGGAAAATGCATCCTGATGATGGCAAATGACCTCAAAGGTGGCTGGAGACTGGTTTCCTTACAGGCTGGAGAAAGCCATTTCTAGATCCTTTCCTCACATGTGTTCAGGCTTCTCAGAATAGGGTGTTGCCTGAGATTGGCAGAGACCTTCAAAGGAGGGATCTGAGAACAAAGCAGTTAGAGGTCTGAGCACTCAGCAAGGCCAAATGGAAAAAGAAGGAAATATATTCCTTTCCAGTTTTTGTGGACATGCTCCCCCACCTTAGGGAGGGGTCTGAATTAAGTTAATCTGGGCTGTACACTTGAGATTTTCTCCAGCCCTTCATGTTGCACCCAAGTTTTCTCTTGGATACCCTGCATGGCACAGGGCCGGTAGGCTGCTCTGCTCTTGGCTGAAGCATACATGGAGCCAGGTGATTTAGAAACACTCCAGGCAGCAGACATCTCCTGTCTGGGCTGGCTTTCATTCTTTTCTTCGCTGCTGTTTTCTTTCTAGGGCTTTCGGAACAGTCTATGCAGCGACCGACACTGCCACAGGAGGAGAGGTAAGTGTCAACATGCCCAGCAGATTTTGCAGCTCTGAAGTGCTTTCCATTCTGAGGAGAGCTGTGGCTGGAGCTTTGGGTCCCCAGCAGATCGTTCCTGCAAAGGCTGTTCCTCTGAAGCGCAGACTAATGCCAGCCTACCAAATCCATTTGGGACAGCTCTTAGGGGCTACAGCTTCAGACTTCTGAAATCGCATTTCTGGCTGTCAGCAAATACCTCTGGATCTTCTGGGGAGTTTCTCATCCCCCATGCAGTGCTGGGCTTTGGAACTGGGCTTGGATAGAGGTCTGTGAGGGATCAAAAGCCCTAAGCCCTGATCCTAACCCGGAGCATACCCAGAAAATGCCAGAGAGCATGTTCTTTCTTTCTCAATCCAGGAAACAATTACAAATCTAAACTGCGTTCAAGAGTGTTCTTTAGAGTTGCAAAATCAAATTTTGGTCTGATCTTGTGCAAGAGACTTCCCAAGTTAATGGTTTTCAATGTCATTTTAGGTGGCCATAAAGCAAGTGTGTCTCCAAAAACAGCTCAAAAAGGAACGAATTGTCGATGAGCTCATTGTCATGAGGGACAACAAGCATCCAAATATTGTTAACTATTTAGACAGGTAAGTAGTTTGGGTATGATCATGTGACTGTTCCTTTACAGACTGCAAGCCAAAGGTTAAAAGAACCCCCTTTGGTCTCTGGCAGAGAAGTCAGCTTTCTAGTATTATTTTTTATCTATTCCTATACAATGTATGGGAGGAGAGTGCATTTTGTCTGCATTCATCTTTTCTGGCATGCATTGTTTCAAGTCATCCCTATCTTCCTAAAACAACAGCCTGGAAGTTCATTACTACCAGGTCGGTTTTGCTGTTTGTTTGGGGAGTCTTTTTAAGTTAATCATATTTTCTGTCTCTTATGACAACTGCTGATAAAGCATCATAGGGATTATTTCCCTGCGTTTTTCACTCCCTTGCCATCTGAGACATCTCAGTTTTCATGGATGTGCCTTTCTCACTTAGACTACACAGGTTCCAAGGAGTGTATAGCCTAGGAGGAATGTCTCTGCATTTTATTCCGTGTTCATTCCCAACTCTTCCAAGAACAGAAATCGACTTCAGTATTTAGGTAGGGTAATTTAGCTATGCACATTCTCCCAGCCATTGTTTTCTTCTTTCAGCTACCTGGTTGGAGATAAACTGTGGATAGTGATGGAATACCTAGACGGAGGCTCCTTAAGTGCTGTTGTTAAGGAAATAAGCATGAGTGAAGGAATGATGGCAGCTGTCTCTCGAGAGGTAAGGGATGCCACTGGTGCTTCCAGTTGTTTGGGCAGGCTGGGACTTCTAAACAAGCAGCAAGAACAGGAGTGATTTCATGGTTAGAGCTTTGTTTCCGTGTTGCTTTTGAAGAAAGAGCATCTTCAGTGAATGGCCTGCCAGTACAACTCTTGCTGTACCCTCTCTCTTTTTTCTTATTTTATTTACTATTCGCGACTTTGCCAAATTGTTTGCCTGAACCCTGTCTCTACTGCATTCCCTACCTGTAAGTGCAAACATGCTGGTGGCAGAATTTTATACTAACAGCAAAGAAAAACAGAAACTCATTTGTTGCAGTCCTCAGTTTAAGGGACAGAATTCCACCCAAAATGGTGTGTGACAACAATTGCCGTTTCTCTTTCCATCTGTGCCTTCCCTTAGAAAGGTAGGGGTTTACTAGTGCGGAGGCAGCAGCAAGCTCTTCCTCTTGACACCACCATGGTCTGCCAGTCCTCACCGTTCACCTAGAACTGAAATCTTTAAAGCCATTGCCTTTGTTGGGTGAGGAAATTGGGTCATTCATTTTTACTCTCCTGTTTCTTTTTTCTCTCTCAGTGCCTGCAAGCACTGGCCTTCCTCCATTGCCACCAAGTGATCCACAGGGATCTCAAAGGCGATAACATTCTGCTTGGAATGGATGGATCCGTCAAGTTGGGTAGGTGTTCTTGCTCAGCCGTGCTGTTCCCGGGATGCGGCGCGTGGGGCTGCTGGAGACTGCCTGCCAGTTCCCAAAAAGCGGTGCCTGTGGGAGTGCAGGGAGCACTGCTACAAGCTGAGAGCACACTTGCAACGTGCAGAGAGGAACAAGGTGTCCTTGGCTACAGCCCTGAGGAAACAGAGCATGGCCGCTTTTCCTGCTGGATTCAGCCTCCTCAGGCTTCTAGTGGGCAATTCTTGCACTTGGCTTCATGATTCAGGCTGGCTTTCATGATACTGGCTTTTGTCCTCAGCTGATTTTGGTCTCGCTGCTCGCATCACACCTGAGCAGAGCAAACGAAGCTCAGTCGTTGGCACAGTTCACTGGATGGCCCCCGAATATCTAACTAAAGAGGAATACGGACCCAAAGTGGATATTTGGGCACTGGGCATCACAGTGATAGAAATGCTGGAAGGAGAACCTCCTTATTTTTGGGAGCTTCCTCGCAGGGTAAGGTGCAAATACTACCAGATAACCACTGTCTTTCTCATCTGTCCCATGTTTTGCCTCCATTGAGAAAAAATACCATTCCCACCAGCTTGAACAAGTTCAACCAAGGCCAAGGCAACAAAAAAAGGGCCCCAGAGCACATCCACATCCTCTATAGCTTTAGTTGCGTCACTCTTGAAAATAACCTGTAAAGCCTGTAAAGTCCATCCTCAGAGAAGCAAAAGGTGCTTTTGCTGATGGAGTTCCTCCTAACTTGGTCAGCCAATGAAATCAGCTATCAAGGCAAGATCATTTGGATGTTGGAAGACCTGGGGCTGCACTGGGGCCTTTTTCTTGGTGTCAAAAAATCATTTTGAACCCTCTGCCTGGGAAGAAACTGCCACTGGAAGATGGAGCATCAAAAATGGGGTCTGTGGGAGCAGTTAGGGAGATGAAAGAAAGAGGTAAAGTCCCGTGTTTCCTTTTCCTCCAGGCCATGCAGCTCATCATTTCAAAGGGGATACCGGAGCTGCAAAGCCGCGAAAACCTGTCCCCTGCATTGCAGGACTTTCTGAACCGCTGCTTGCAGGCAGACGAGGACAGTCGATGGTCTGCTGAGGAACTTCTGCAGGTAAAATGCAGAGTGGCTGCCAGTGACACAACTGTCCCATGCATCGGTGTTCTCGTCTGCTAAACTCCAAGGCATCAGGTGCCCCCGCCTCGTATTAATCCCCAGAAGTGCTCTGTCCTCTGATCATTTTGGTGGCCCTGATTTGGATCTAAGGGAGCTGTTCAGTTTTGTCTGGTTCCTAATGCCAGGAACAGAGCCCTGAAATGGTGCTGGTGGTGGAGGAACCCAATAAAATCAGTGCCTGCCAAGTGGTCCAAGAACTTGGCTGTGGGAAGGAAGGGGCTGGGGGCAGCTCCCCGTGAGCCCAAATCCTTTCTTGGTGATAAACATTTCTTGGTGACCTTGAGTTTCCTGAAGAGCAGCTTATGCTCCTCATCTTTTTTGACTTCTAGAATAGCCCATGTCTTTAGGAAACAGGAACCTAAGTAAGTATTTAGAGTTTCCTGAAAGGACCTAAGCCCTGGGACAGCAAGCAGCATTCCCACAGCCCTGGCAGGGCAAATATCCCATCGAGCTTGAGAAAGGGGTTAATAGGATTATGGGCCACGTCTGCCTGTCATAACGAGGTCCTGGACATGAAGACAGAGGTGCAGATGGTCCCCTCAGTCCTATTTCTGCACATCTCTGGTAACCCGAGGAACACTGCTTGAGCTCGTGAGGAACTGAGGTTGGAAAGTAATGGTCCATTTCTTTTCTTTTCCTTTGGGCAGCATCCATTTTTACTCTCAGCCATGCCCCTCTCCGGCCTCACAACTGTGATCAATGCAGCAAACCAGCTGAGGGAGGCCAGCAGACAGAGGAAGGGTTTTGGCATGCCTTCCTCCAGTTCCATCGATGGGTGGAACTCAGAACAAAACTGAAGGAGCCTCACCCCAGTGAATACCCTGGGGGAGTTCCACAGAGGAGGGGGCGCTTAGGAGTCGATTAGGGCACAGGGCATCACCACCAGCAGGTGGTGAGCAACTGCATTGTACATTGCTTGTTTTGCTTGGGTTTCATCTCTTTCTCCGTTTTACTACTGTTACAATTAGGATTTGCATTAGTATCACTATTAGAGTTTGTATTAGTATTAGTGTTAGTATTACTATTTGTATTCATATTGGATTTTACTCTGTTTCAATTATTAAACTGTTCTTATCTCAACATACGAGTTTTGCTTGGGTTTCATCTCTTTCTCCGTTTTACTACTGTTACAATTAGGATTTGCATTAGTATCACTATTAGTGTTTGTATTAGTGTTAGTATTACTATTTGTATTCATATTGGATTTTACTCTGTTTCAATTATTAAACTGTTCTTATCTCAACATACGAGTTTTGCTTGGGTTTCATCTCTTTCTCCGTTTTACTACTGTTACAATTAGGATTTGCATTAGTATCACCATTAGAGTTTGTATTAGTATTAGTGTTAGTATTACTATTTGTATTCATATTGGATTTTACTCTGTTTCAATTATTAAACTGTTCTTATCTCAACATACGAGTTTTGCTTGGGTTTCATCTCTTTCTCCGTTTTACTACTGTTACAATTAGGATTTGCATTAGTATTACTATTAGTGTTTGTATTAGTATTAGTGTTAGTATTACTATTCGTATTCATGTTGGATTTTACTCTGTTTCAATTATTAAACTGTTCTTATCTCAACATACGAGTTCTACTTCTGATTTTCCTCCCTGTTCCACTGGGGAGGGGGATGGGGATGGGGATGGGGATGGGGATGGGGGGGAGCAAGCGGCTGTGTGGTGCTTACTTACCAGCCCAGCTGGTAACTTAAACCACAACACTTCACCAGCACGTGATTCTTCAACGAGTCCAACTATTCTGTCACCTTTTCTTCAAATGAGATTTACAATCTTGGTATCATAAAAATCACCATCAACACACCCGTGATTCATGTAATTCAGTTATGCACACACTGCACTGAGAAGTCCACTTACTATTTTTAAACTTGGTCCTTCTTAATTTCACTGTGCTCAGTTTTTTGGCCTACTAGTTAGAACAAAAAAGATATAAGGCATTCCCTAGCATTAATGATTTCACAGGATCAGAGAGTTGTACAATATCCCAAGTTGGAAGGGACCCACAAGGATCGAGTCCAACTCCTGGCCCCCCACAGGACAGCCCCAAGAATCACACCATGTGCCTGAGAGTGTAGTTCAAATGCTTCTTGAACTCTGTCACAATTGGGGCTGTGACCACTTCCCTGGGGAGTCTGTTCCAGTGCCCAATCACCCTCGGGGGGAAGAACCTTTGCCTGATATCCAGCCTAAACCTGCCCTGACACAGCTTCATGTCATTCCCTCGGGACCTCTCACTGGTCACCACAGAGATCAGTGCCTGCCCCTCTGCTTCCCCTCACGAGGAACTTGTAGACCACAATGAGGTCTCCCCTCAGGCTTCTCTTCCCCAGGCCGAACAAGCCAAGGGACCTCAGCGGCTCCTCCTAAGGCTTCCCCTCAAGGCCCCTCACCCTCCTCCTGGGCCTCCTTTGGACACTCGCCAAGAACTTTATATCTCCCTTCTATTGGTCACCCACAAGCTGAGGCCACACCAGCACAGAGGGGAGCAGGACAATCACCTCCCTCCACCAGCTGGCAATGCTGTGCCTGATGCACACATACATCTATCTGATGATAAACCCTTCCCAGCAGTTGAGGGGGAACTGAAATCAAACTATTTAGGCAAATTCCGCTGTCACTTCCACCTCTGAAGCCTTTTTGTCTGTTTTGGTTGGTTGGTTGGTGTTTGTGTTTGTGTTTCTGTTTTGGTTGGTTTGTTTGTTTCTTTGATCGAGTTCCCAACCTGCTTTTCACTTCAGAGTAGCCTGTGAAACAAATGGCCTTCGGACAAGGACCGGGCACAGGAGCTGGGCACAGCCTGGAGCTGGCTCTCCCGCTGGCTCTGCCTGGGCCAGCAGGGACCTGGGCCAGGGCAGAAATTCCCGCTGCTGCCTGAGGCCAGCACACAAGGCATCGACAGCAAAGGAGAAGCCCTTCCTGAAGGAGTCCCGGCTCCCTCAGGCTGGGCCTAAGGCATCCCGGTATCCCGCCCACTGCCCCGCCGGACAACACTGTGTTCTCAAAAAGCAATGGACACTGTCAGCGTTTAGGCAAGAACATACCTGAAACTCCTTCCCCAGAGATGCTTGCTGCCTTCACACAGAATCACTGAATTTTTAGCGTTATACAGGACCTCGGGAGATTCTCCGGTCCAACCCCTCTGCCAAGACAGGGTCCCCCAGAGCAGACTACACAGGAACATGTCCTGGTGGGTTTTGATGTCTCCAGACAGGGAGACTCCACCACCTCCTTGGGCAGCCTGCTCCTGTGCTCTGCCACCCTCAACATAAAGAACTTCTCCCTCATGTTGGAGTGAAACTTTTGTGGTTTAGTTTATGGCCATCGCTTCCTGTCCTGTGCAGAATCACACACCATCCTCTAGGCACCCACCTTTGAGATTTTTATATGCATAAATGAGACCCCTCTCGGTCTTCTCGAGACTAAACAGGCCCAGCTCCCACAGTCTCTCCTCAGAAGAGAGATGCTCCAGACTCATCATCATCTTCATTTCAACTGATGCTGCAGCCTCTGCTTATTCTGAAATATAGCAGGAGACTGCCTGGTTTTATAAGAAGAAAGCAAGAGAAGAAAATTCCAGCTGCATTTCAAAAAAATCAAACACTGCTTCTCCTTCTGGCTGGCAGGTGTTGACTGTAAGGAATCTGTCTTCAGGAGGGGAAATGACATTTAGTCAGAGCATCAGGAAAATGTAAAATATATATATAGTCACCTGTCCTTCAGCACGGAAAAAAATCAGATAAAAAGGAATGTATTACAGCATAGAATAAAGCAGTATAGAATAAAGACAGGTCTTGCTGCACAGGGCATCATGTTTCCCAAACAGCACCTTCACGCGTAAGAATACCACCTCCAAAACAGACTTCTTTTTTGGGCATAGCAATTGCTGATCAGCAATAAATGGCTGCCCGCTCTTTCCACTCAGCCACCCAAGGACCTCGGAAGGCAAGAGATTGTAGCTAGTGTGGTCAACTGGTCCAGCATTTGCACAGTCATTTCAGGTCAGCCTTACCAGGATGCCCTGTGATCTTCAGGGGAGAAAGTGCATGCCAAAACAGTGCTTGCAGAGTACTTCCTCTGAAGAATTGATGTGCTCCCGTTTTCCCAGCTTTGGGGGCAGTGTTGCTGCACTCCCAGCCTTCAGAAGCCATGCAGCCTTGCTGTTGGAGAATCATCGGCTAAGGCACCAGACAATGAGAGCGGGGACTTTGTCTGGCAAAGGAAACCCCCGTGTTTCCTTTCATTAAGTGTAAACACGCCACTTGCAAGTGCCTTTCTGCAGCTAAGTGCTCAGAAGAGGTGAGGGTTTTAAAGAAAGCTGAAACTTCACGGGTGGGAATTGCGGGAGCAATTCCCAGGAGTGAATGCCTTTTGCTGCATGTGATGATAACTAGCCACCCAACTACTTCTCATAAAAATTAAATGCCAAGTCTCCTGGAGATGAGAGGGAGCAAATCCATGGTGTTTGTGGTAAAACTGTGAGATTTGGCAACATTGCCAACTGCTGTGTTGATAATTGGTAGGTCTTGCTCTGCAGGTGGGATCCAGGCCACAATCCAGGCCACAATTCAGGCAGATGTGGCCTGCAAACATGGGCATGCATTGCAGGGAGACTGGAGTGGTGTAACTGCTGTTCTGTTGCTGATGTTGTAAAATGCACCCGCTTGAGCTGATGACTTGCTGTGCTAAGAGATCTGAAGCTGTGCTGTGAAGTTGGAGCCTTCAGTCTCCTTTTGTATGCTTTGTGATGGAACTCTTGGGGAAGAAGGTGAAAGGCCAACATCACACCTTACACAGCAGTCTATCGCTTCGCTAGCAACACTTGCACTCTCCAGGAAAAGTCGCTTTGCTCACCTGTGAGAAATAGAAGATCTTTTGCTTCCAGAAGCAGAGACGTGGCCCTGAGGTGCTGAAATCCTGCCTGTGTCATTTGAAGTGCTACATGCAACTTGACCCCCTGGAAAGGAAAAGGGAAGAGTAAAAGCATGATGGAAATTGTAACTCCAAGACTCTTTTGAAAATGATAGTGAATCACAAGCATCCTTTCTTTGTCAATCCTAGAGTGGGGACTTTAGAAGTTGCATGAATTTTCAAACACAAGGGCCAGATTGCTTCCAGATTCTCCAGAGTCCTTCAGAACTGGCACTTCCACAGGAGCAGAAAAAATACTTGGACACAAAGCCCTCATGCTACAGAAGCCATTGTAGCACCGAGCTTTGTACACTTGTGTGACAACCTGTTTGCTTTCTCACAGCCATCAATACAGGGATGAGGCTCCTCACGTGGCTCCTTCGGGAGCACACTGATTAGCAGCACAAGATCCTAACTGTAGATTCCTCTTGCCTAAAACCAGAGGAAAATTCTACACACTGGGAGGACAGCTGCTTCTCTTGTGGTCTCTGTGCTGATGTACAGAGATGGACAGATGGAAAAGTGAGGATAGGCTAACAGGGCATAACACATGTACACACGTATGCAGGTATGTGTACACTATATATACATATAATAGATGTACATAACACACATGTATACATATAATTGAGTATAACTTATGTACACACATCTGCAGGTTCACAGATGCACAGTAAGGCAGTTCTGTTTCTCTCAACACAATTCAATCCTCACACGCTGCTCGCAAGAACCACGGCACAGAGAACGCAAGCCCCTGCCAAAGCTGATCTCTCTATGCAAGCACAGAAATACCACAGAATTTAGGCATGGATGTTTATAGCAAAATTTGTCTAAAGCTAATCAAATATCTACAGTGATGCACACTTCAAACTGTTCTAAGCAGAATCACTCCGGGGGAAACCATGACTTCTAGGTGAGTAATTTGGCCAGCACAAAACAGCCAGCAAGAGCAGAAAATTTGCTGCAGTAAACATACAAATTGCAAAGCACGTTCTTCATGAAGTTTGATGAAGCCCTGTGTCAGTTAATTGGCTGGTACCTTCTAGTGAAAGATTTCTAGTGCATTTATTTCCCAGCTAGTTCACAACAGCAGAAAGATGTCCTGCCAGTGCTCATTTGAAAGACTTAGACACGTTCATGCTGTCGGACATGCTTCCTAGTACATATAGGGATGAATTTCCTTTGTGTCTTTAAATTGCACTTATTCTTTGGACAAAAGGGAGGAATATGCTCAAAGCTGCGCCTGTGGGTCCCCTCACCTTGCAGGGTAACTAAGTGTGAATGGCATGTCAGTGAGGCTGACCTTCCTACATTGGATTCCATTTTTTTACACCTTCTCTTTTTTTCTTCTTTTCTACCTTTTCCCACTGCTTTTCCCTCTGCTTGTCCTGACTGCGAGAGGGGCAGAAAATTTTCAGAACTTTTTCTCATGCATTTCATAGGTTGCTCTTTTCTTATCCCATTCCTAATGTTTACCATATATTTTGTATTCACAGGATTTTATTAAGGTCTTGGCAAATTTGACATTTACGAGCTCAAGGACCTGCTTCTAACCTCTACCTTTGCCTGCCTTGTCTTTTAGAAGAAACTAATGTCAGGCTTTCCACCCTTCACTGTGAGGGTCTTTCGAAAATTAAAATGTGCTGGTTTTGCAAAGACAGAATGTACTGCAAAAGGGATCCTAATTCCCAACTTGTAGATAAGTGCAGCAAAGCAAAACCCCACCAAAGGTTCTCGAGGTGTAGAATAAAGCCTCTCTCACTTTTAGAACTCTAGATTGCTGCAGTGAACATTTCAAAAGGCATGTGACTATAAACCTGCTTATTAATTTTAGACTAAATGCAATACCATCTATCATGTAGCCATAAAGAACAGGACTAATTTTGTACTTACATTTTTATTTTAAATTAACAAATCTGTAAATCTTCAGAGATACTGTTTGTGATCTCCAGAATTACTTGCTAAATTCAGGTGTATTCTTAAAAACAAATGGACAGGTTCTTTTGTGGTTTTGGTTGTGGAGCTTACATCTGATCACAGAGACACAAGATTTGATCTCTCCGGACAGATTTAGGACAGTTTTGTGAAGAAAAACAGTACTTATTTCCATCTTAATACGTTTCCAATATCGCACCTCAGACCAGAGGTGGCTTAAGGTCTGTGGGGACCAAAGTCTGGGCCCTGGTTTTGCAATGTTCCTGTGGTGCGATTTGCACATAAGATCACAAGGTTTGGACCTTATTGTCTCTAAATCCAATCCTCTCCGATCCAGTTTCTGCTACTTCCTTTTTTTCTCTTTACTTCAGCTTTTTCTCTCTTCTTCATTTCTTGAGCATTTGAACTTCTTAATCTTTTTCCCCTTCTTTTTCCATCAGGCACTCCACTGATGGAAACATATGCCAACTTTTATTCTTCCACAAAAGATGGAGGAACAGTCTGAGCAAGTTACGGTCTGTTTCACATGGGGAAGGGAATGAAGCCACCCCAGGCAGTGCTCCAAGAAAGACTGGAGCCAACAAATACGTGAGAACTTTTCAAAGCACAAAGGCAGAATGAGGGAAGGCACCCATTAGACCTGTTGTTTGTGAACAGAGAAGGACTGGTGGGTGCTGTGATGGTTGGAGGCCATCGGGCTCAGCCATCATGAAATCATCATTTGGGATTCTCAGAGAAGGAAGGATTGGGAGCAGCAGAACTCTGGGCTTTGAAGTTTGAGAGTTCTGGGGCTTTTTCATTCCAGCTGGAAGTCCTGACTGGGTACACTTGTCTGTGGTGAGGACGATTCTACAGTCTGCTGTAAGAGTAGAAAGTGGCACACTCCCTGCGAGTAAACTTTTTCTTTTTAATTTATTTTGATTGAGTTTCAAGAACAGGCTGGAGAGGGCACTGGTAGGGTCGCCTTCCCTGAAGGCATTTAAAAGACATGTAGATGAGGCACCTGGGGATATGGTGGGCTTGGCAGCGCCAGGTTAAAGTGTGTGAACTGATAATATGAGCACTGTTTGCCTGTCGCCTCCTCTCTCCTCTTCAGGACTTTCAGGGGCTTGAAACAGAAAAGAGATTTCCTAAAGAAAGAAAACGGAAGCAGCAAGTTACATCTCACAGGTCTTGCTCTTTGCAGTCTGGCCTTGACTGGTTTAAAAGTGAGAGGAGGACGAGGGTGGAATGATGCTTCTGAACTTTGGAACGCTCGTGTGTTTTCTGTGTTCCTAAGCCTGCCTTCCTGTGGCCTGTCCACCACCTGATCTATTTGGTCTCTGCCTCATAACTCCCTTTTTTGATGGGACTTGCCCATTTTGGCCCATTGGTTTCCTCCTCCTCCCACCTTCTAAGTGCTCCCACCTTCTCTTTGAACTTGCTTTTCTGTCCGTCTGTCTTTCTTTACGCCCATTACGGCCTGACCTCTGTGGCTCACGGATGTGCACAGGGAAGCTCCCAGGGGTGTGACATAGGACCAAAAGGCTTCTTTGAGCTGTCAGAGCACTGCAGCAGCACACTGATAAGAAGGGACAATTAATACGGGATAAGTAAAGCAACTTTTCATCCACAGAATTTCAGTGTAGACCTGGGGCTTTCAGCAAGTGCATCAGTTTTCAAATGACACCCTCACCTGTAAGGTGGAGCCCAAGATTTCCTCCAAGCCTTGGGCACTCTCAGCTTGTTTTCCGAGTCCCTGCGTTCTGTAATATTTACAGCAGAGAACCTGCAGAGCTACAGGAGCTCAACAAAGAGACCTCCTCAGCAGCTGTGGTACACCCCAGTGTAAGGAGTTGGAGAGCTGAAAGGCAGATTTGTTACCACGCAGTGTTCCCTGGGAAGCTGGAAATCAATTGTATCAGGGTGTGCCTTTGAATCACACACCAGCGACCATTGCACCAAATGTGTTTGCCTTACTAAGCACTACAAGCCCAGGATAAAGCTTCTAAAGGACACTCTGTTGTCCACCACCAGAGGATAGTCCCTTGATGTCTGCACTAAATCACCAGGAAAACAAGCTAAGCCTCAAATCCTTATTCCATGGAAGGGCAGAGCTCATTTCCAGAGGAGTTTTGTGCCCTTTCTTTCCTTCCATTGACATTCCTTTCTTTTCTTTTTCAAGCTGGGTCCTGCTTTTAGCTCTAGATTTTGACAGAGACCAATTGCACCTGATTTTCATGGGGATGAAATGTCTGCAAGTCATCCTACAGGTAGTGTGGGATCTTGGGGCAGATCTGTGAGGCTGTGGTTTTTGGCTCTTCTAAACCCACAGTCTTGGGCTTTCCATGTACAGGGCATTCCAGGGCAGTGGGACAGGCTTCCAGTGACAGAGGAGAATTTTCCAACATTTTTTTGGCATTAGCTGTAGAGAACATTCAGGGGCTCTGCATACATCTGCAAGCAAAGCTAGAGCAGCTGCTGTTGTGATGTCACTGGAACCGTTGTCCTGGTGCACGGACCGTTGTCCTGGTGCATGGAGTGTTGTCCTGGTGCACGGACCGTTGTCCTCATGCACGGAGTGTTGTGCTGGTGCACGGACCGTTGTCCTCGTGCATGGAGTGTTGTCCTGGTGCACAGACCGTTGTCCTCGTGCACGGGAGCCTCCGTGTGCACAGTGTGTTTGGCGTGCTCGTAGCGGGAGGGTGCTCCTCATCGAGGCACTCACCTCCAGCAGGCTGCACTTGGACACCAGGGGTGTCCTTTTCTTCCTTGGCGTGCACAGGCTGTGGAATTCTTGCCCAGCATGGCTAAAGTGTTCCGGCGAGTCTGTGCCGCCTTTCGCCGGGTTTTTCCTATGGCCTATGCTTTTTGTTCCCACCCAGACAAACCCGGGCTGCTGACCCATCTAGCAAGTAAGTAGAGGTTTTCTCCAGGTGCAGCCAACCTGGCTTTTGGATCGAAGTGTTGTTTATGCTGCCCCTTAGTGACTGCATTGCCTTTGAAACCAAAATGCCCCACAGATACCATGATTTTGGTAAAGCTCATGTCAGGGGCATCAGCTCCAAAGGGGGTGTCTCCAGCCATTCAAGGGGGTGTGGGCAGCATTTGCAATTGAACCCACAGGGTTCTGTGCCCTACACGGGTTAGTCCATGGCAGCGGAGTCTGTAATTTCCTCAGTTGCTGCTTCAGCCAATACAACTTCCCAAATGCAGATTGGCAGAGCTCCTCAGAAGTCCCTCTAAAGACTGTGCAGTTCTCTCCAGTTTTTCCCTAAATTCCATCATTCATAGGTTGGGCAGTGTGACCTGCCACAATGTTTGCTCAAATAGCTCTTGCTTTGGTGATGAAATGCAAACTTCTAGAGAGTGTGGGGGAGAATAGGGGAGCAGAGGAGGAGAGGACAGATGCTTTAGCTCTTGGGCAGAACAGAATCAATGACTGTCAAAGGACAATGTGCCTTTTCTTGACCAAGTTTCACTTTATTTGATTTAGAATAAGAAAAATAGAAACTGCCCTGGCAAAACAGGGCAGAAAACTCGGCCCAAGAAGCTGTAGCAAAACAACAACCTGCTATATTGTGCTGTTCTCTTGCTCCCTGTGTGAAAGAACTGTGCTACTGAAGGGATGTTGTGAAAGAAAAATGCTCTCCATTTGGGTTGACTTTTTCCATGGGATTCCCCACAACAGCCAGTTTTCTAACATCTGCTTCATTTTCCTTTCCCCATTGCAGGTAAATATGTGTTTAGAAACAGAAGAGGCCGTCCTTCGGTGAGCGGCAAAGTAACCCTGACATTCCTAGCCTTTCAGCAGCAAGCCCTGACCTTCGCTTGTTGCAATTGAGTGCCAGCCCTCCAGGCAGAAAGAAAGTCTTCTCAGTGTCTTTGCATCAGAAGAAAAGGGTTCCCTGGCTGGTTTTTATTTGTCTCTTGGAGGCCTTTTAAGTAGATGACAGTCTGGTTTTGCAGACAGAAAGTTTCTTGCTGCTTTTAGCCATGGGGGAACAACAGCAGTTCACAACAAGATGCACTGCTGTCTAATTAGCCCCCTTGAACTTAGCTGGAGCAACTTAGAATCCCCTTGCTATCAAAGGTTATGATTTCTCCTTAGTACAGCTGGATAGATAGCTGCATAGAAATAAGGTTCTAAATGATATGTGACTCCCTGTCGCTCACGCTGCTGTCTGTCCACAGAGGAAACTACCTCAAGCTGACCCTCCTCAGGCTCCTTCTCTTCCTTCCCTTTATGAGGATACAGAGGAGGAAGACAACAACGAAGCTCCACCTGTTGCTGCACCAGAGCCTGAACAGCCAAACTCTGTAAGAGCCAGCTTTGCCTAGCACTCTCATTACTGTAATTCAGAGCTGCCTGTTTCAGACCAGACAGCACTTGCCCCTCATGGCTGAAAATCCTGAGGGCTGGAATCCTACCATAACAAAGTGTTTCCTCCCCCCAGCCACTGACACCTGGAAAATGGGTTCTGAACTTTCAAGTTCAGTCATCGTTTTCCTGGCATTCTGACAGGGCCCACGAGTTTCTCTCTGTATGGGATGAGAGGTAGCCTTGTGTCTGTAAATGGGGAGACACTTAGCCTGCAGTGTCTGCGCAGCCTCCCTGTCACCAGCGGAGCGAGCGCTCCAAAGGCACAGTTCACAGCCTTGCTGCATGTGGATACCTGGGAGAAACTGTCCCGTGCAGGTCCCTGCCCTCCTCCACGCACTATTTAAGGGGCTAAATGGACACTTTAAACTACACCCATAACTTTTACGTGACCAAAGTCGGGTGAGAAGAGTCCTACGCAGCTCGGCCATGGCAAGAGGAGGTCGGTCTCTGAGAAGGGCTGGAACTTAATGGCTGTTCCCTAAAGCTTGAAATACTGATGAGAAGTATCTCTGCAAGCCTCCTTTCTGACGCAAACTGATTTCTTGTCACAGACCAATACATGCTCTGGAACAAAATCTTCCACTGCCCTGGAAGCTGCTGCACTGGAAGCCACTGCACTGGAAGCTGCTGACAAAGACAACACTCCCACACCTGAGATCCCCTATATAAGCACTTCCAGCAGTTCCTGCAGCAGCACCAACGAGCAGCAAAAGACAGTAGAGGAGGACAGCCTCGAGAAATTGAGTATGTCTTCTGCATTTCTTGCCTCATAGGGCAGTGCTAATGTTCCTAGACAACAAACACTTGCCTTGCTACCTGTTCTTTTCTGTCTCCTCAGAATGTTTCTCCCTCTTTCTCCCAGTTTCCTGTCAATGTAACTCTTCAAAGGACTGTAGAAAACCAGTCTTTGTGGAAGCCATCTGGACTACAGATCTGCCTCTCTTCTTCTTGTTGTTGTTATTGTTGTTACCCAACTGACTTCAGCTCACAGCCCCAGGCAGAGGAGCTGCAGTTCTGACCTGCTGGAGGCTGGTATTGTCATCCTGAAGTGACCATCTTTCATTTGTTTTTTTCAGGGAGCATTGTGAGTGTGGGAGATCCTATGAAGAAGTACGTTGAATGGGAAAAAATTGCCAGTGGGTAAGTCTGATCACAGTTCCTTCCACAAAGCCAGGTATTTTGCTGGTGCAAGGTCAGGTGGGAAGTCAGACAGGCTCCAAGCATGTTCAGACACTGTGTTTAGATCCTTCTGCCTCTCAGTGCTGATCCCAATTTAGAACTGTGGTCAGATGGCATCCTCAAAGACAACTGCATGCTGGCAGTGTCTTGCCCGTAGCAAGGAGCAGGATCTCCTGTCCTTCAAGTACCTGGCACCTGTTTGCCTCTTTGCTTGTGACAAATGATGTCTCTACGTCTCCAAATAATACAGCCAAGGAAAAGAAAGGAGAAAGAAACTTTCTTGCCAAAAAGAGCAACTGACCTCCTGAGACCAGATAACAGTTTTCAGGAACTTCCAATATTTTGCGGAAAACAATAGTCAGTGGTCAGCAGTATAACCACATCATTTAGAAACAGAAAAAAGAGATAAAAAAGAAACTCTCTTTGTAGCAGAAGTAGTAAAACCTAATTCAGTAATAGACCCAGTGTCAAGGCAGTTGAGAGGAAAATGCATCCTGATGATGGCAAATGACCTCAAAGGTGGCTGGAGACTGGTTTCCTTACAGGCTGGAGAAAGCCATTTCTAGATCCTTTCCTCAAATGGCCCCTCACATGTGTTCAGGCTTCTCAGAATAGGGTGTTGCCTGAGATTGGCAGAGACCTTCAAAGGAGGGATCTGAGAACAAAGCAGTTAGAGGTCTGAGCACTCAGCAAGGCCAAATGGAAAAAGAAGGAAATATATTCCTTTCCAGTTTTTGTGGACATGCTCCCCCAACTTAGGGAGGGGTCTGAATTAAGTTAATCTGGGCTGTACACTTGAGATTTTCTCCAGCCCTTCATGTTGCACCCAAGTTTTCTCTTGGATACCCTGCATGGCACAGGGCCGGTAGGCTGCTCTGCTCTTGGCTGAAGCATACATGGAGCCAGGTGATTTAGAAACACTCCAGGCAGCAGACATCTCCTGTCTGGGCTGGCTTTCATTCTTTTCTTCGCTGCTGTTTTCTTTCTAGGGCTTTCGGAACAGTCTATGCAGCGACCGACACTGCCACAGGAGGAGAGGTAAGTGTCAACATGCCCAGCAGATTTTGCAGCTTTTGGGGCTACAGCTTCAGACATCTGAAATCACATTTTTGGCTGTCAGCAAATACCTCTGGATCTTCTGGGGAGTTTCTCATCCCCCATGCAGTGCTGGGCTTTGGAACTGGGCTTGGATAGAGGTCTGTGAGGGATCAAAAGCCCTAAGCCCTGATCCTAACCCAGAGCATACCCAGAAAATGCCAGAGAGCATGTTCTTTCTTTTTCAATCCAGGAAACAATTACAAATCTAAACTGCGTTCAAGAGTGTTCTTTAGAGTTGCAAAATCAAATTTTGGTCTGATCTTGTGCAAGAGACTTCCCAAGTTAATGGTTTTCAATGTCATTTTAGGTGGCCATAAAGCAAGTGTGTCTCCAAAAACAGCTCAAAAAGGAACGAATTGTCGATGAGCTCATTGTCATGAGGGACAACAAGCATCCAAATATTGTTAACTATTTAGACAGGTAAGTAGTTCGGGTATGATCATGTGACTGTTCCTTTACAGACTGCAAGCCAAAGGTTAAAAGAACCCCCTTTGGTCTCTGGCAGAGAAGTCAGCTTTCTAGTATTATTTTTTATCTATTCCTATACAATGTATGGGAGGAGAGTGCATTTTGTCTGCATTCATCTTTTCTGGCATGCATTGTTTCAAGTCATCCCTATCTTCCTAAAACAACAGCCTGGAAGTTCATTACTACCAGGTCGGTTTTGCTGTTTGTTTGGGGAGTCTTTTTAAGTTAATCATATTTTCTGTCTCTTATGACAACTGCTGATAAAGCATCATAGGAATTATTTCCCTGTATTTTTCACTCCCTTGCCATCTGAGACATCTCAGTTTTCATGGATGTGCCTTTCTCACTTAGACTACACAGGTTCCAAGGAGTGTATAGCCTAGGAGGAATGTCTCTGCATTTTATTCCGTGTTCATTCCCAACTCTTCCAAGAACAGAAATCGACTTCAGTATTTAGGTAGGGTAATTTAGCTATGCCCATTCTCCCTGCCATTGTTTTCTTCTTTCAGCTACCTGGTTGGAGATAAACTGTGGATAGTGATGGAATACCTAGACGGAGGCGCCTTAAGCGATGTTGTTAAGGAAATAAGCATGAGTGAAGGAATGATGGCAGCTGTCTCTCGAGAGGTAAGGGATGCCACTGGTGCTTCCAGTTGTTTGGGCAGGCTGGGACTTCTAAACAAGCAGCAAGAACAGGAGTGATTTCATGGTTAGAGCTTTGTTTCCGTGTTGCTTTTCCAATATGGAGAAGAAAGAGCATCTTCAGTGAATGGCCTGCCAGTACAACTCTTGCTGTACCCTCTCTCTTTTTTCTTATTTTATTTACTATTCGCAACTTTGCCAAATTGTTTGCCTGGAGCCTGTCTCTACTGCATTCCCTACCTGTAAGTGCAAACATGCTGGTGGCAGAATTTTATACTAACAGCAAAGAAAAACAGAAACTCATTTGTCACAGTCCTCAGCTGAAAGGCAGAGCATTCCACCCAAAACGGTGTTTGCATCTGCAAAATTACTAAAATGCTACTTCCAAGTCTGCTCTTCCAGCTAGCAATAAGATCTTGGTCCTGCAGCCTCCCACCCAGAAGCGATCCACTTGATCCCCTCAGGAGAGGGAGTTTCACTGTTTTGGCAAACCATGATTTACCCTCTGCATGGAGAGAGCCCACGCACTGCAGCAGCAGTCATTTTGTCTGTGTCTGCAGGGGTGCAGCATGACAACAATTGCCATTTCTCTTTCCAAACCTCAAAAGGGAATGTGCCTTCCCTTAGAAAGGTAGGGGTTTACTAGTGCGGAGGCAGCAGCAAGCTCTTCCTCTTGACACCACCATGGTCTGCCAGTCCTCACTGTTCACCTAGAACTGAAATCTTTAAAGCCATTGCCTTTGTTGGGTGAGGAAATTGGGTCATTCATTTTTACTCTCCTGTTTCTTTTTTCTCTCTCAGTGCCTGCAAGCACTGGCCTTCCTCCATTGCCACCAAGTGATCCACAGGGATCTCAAAGGCGATAACATTCTGCTTGGAATGGATGGATCCGTCAAGTTGGGTAGGTGTTCTTGCTCAGCCGTGCTGTTCCCGGGATGCGGCGCGTGGGGCTGCTGGAGACTGCCTGCCAGTTCCCAAAAAGCGGTGCCTGTGGGAGTGCAGGGAGCACTGCTACAAGCTGAGAGCACACTTGCAACGTGCAGAGAGGAACAAGGTGTCCTTGGCTACAGCCCTGAGGAAACAGAGCATGGCCGCTTTTCCTGCTGGATTCAGCCTCCTCAGGCTTCTAGTGGGCAATTCTTGCACTTGGCTTCATGATTCAGGCTGGCTTTCATGATACTGGCTTTTGTCCTCAGCTGATTTTGGTCTCGCTGCTCGCATCACACCTGAGCAGAGCAAACGAAGCTCAGTCGTCGGCACAGTTCACTGGATGGCCCCCGAATATCTAACTAAAGAGGAATACGGACCCAAAGTGGATATTTGGGCACTGGGCATCACAGTGATAGAAATGCTGGAAGGAGAACCTCCTTATTTTTGGGAGCTTCCTCACAGGGTAAGGTGCAATACTACCAGATAACCACTGTCTTTCTCATCTGTCCCATGTTTTGCCTCCATTGAGAAAAAATACCATTCCCACCAGCCAAGGCCAAGGCAATAAAAAAAAGGCCCCAGAGCACATCCACATCCTCTATAGCTTTAGTTGCGTCACTCTTGAAAATAACCTGTAAAGCCTGTAAAGTCCATCCTCAGAGAATCAAAAGGTGCTTTTGCTGATGGAGTTCCTCCTAACTTGGTCAGCCAATGAAATCAGCTATCAAGGCAAGATCATTTGGATGTTGGAAGACCTGGGGCTGCACTGGGGAAATCAGCTATCAAGGCAAGATCATTTGGATGTTGGAAGACCTGGGGCTGCACTGGGGCCTTTTTCTTGGTGTCAAAAAATCATTTTGAACCCTCTGCCCGGGAAGAAACTGCCACTGGAAGATGGAGCATCAAAAATGGGGTCTGTGGGAGCAGTTAGGGAGATGAAAGAAAGAGGTAAAGTCCCGTGTTTCCTTTTCCTCCAGGCCATGCAGCTCATCATTTCAAAGGGGATACCGGAGCTGCAAAACCGCGAGAAACTGTCCCCTGCATTGCAGGACTTTCTGAACCGCTGCTTGCAGGCAGACGAGGACAGTCGATGGTCTGCTGAGGAACTTCTGCAGGTAAAATGCAGAGTGGCTGCCAGTGACACAACTGTCCCATGCATCGGTGTTCTCGTCTGCTAAACTCCAAGGCATCAGGTGCCCCCGCCTCGTATTAATCCCCAGAAGTGCTCTGTCCTCTGATCATTTTGGTGGCCCTGATTTGGATCTAAGGGAGCTGTTCAGTTTTGTCTGGTTCCTAATGCCAGGAACGGAGCCCTGAAATGGTGCTGGTGGTGGAGGAACCCAATAAAATCAGTGCCTGCCAAGTGGTCCGAGAACTTGGCTGTGGGAAGGAAGGGGCTGGGGGCAGCTCCCCGTGAGCCCAAATCCTTTCTTGGTGATAAACATTTCTTGGTGACCTTGAGTTTCCTGAAGAGCAGCTTATGCTCCTCATCTTTTTTGACTTCTAGAATAGCCCATGTCTTTAGGAAAGAAGAACCTAAGTAAGTATTTAGAGTTTCCTGAAAGGACCAAAGCCCTGGGACAGCAAGCAGCATTCCCACAGCCCTGGCAGGGCAAATATCCCATCGACCTTGAGAAAGGGGTTAATAGGACTATGGGCCACGTCTGCCTGTCATAACGAGGTCCTGAACATGAAGACAGAGGTGCAGATGGTCCCCTCAGTCCTATTTCTGCACATTTCTGGTAACCCGAGGAATACTGCTTGAGCTCGTGAGGAACTGAGTTTGGAAAGTAATGGTCCATTTCTTTTCTTTTCCTTTGGGCAGCATCCATTTTTACTCTCAGCCATGCCCCTCTCCGGCCTGACGACTGTGATCAATGCAGCAAACCAGCTGAGGGAGGCCAGCAGACAGAGGAAGGGTTTTGGCATGCCTTCCTCCAGTTCCATCGATGGGTGGAACTCAGAACAAAACTGAAGGAGCCTCATCCCCAGTGAATACCCTGGGGGAGTTCCACAGAGGAGGGGGCGCTTAGGAGTCGATTAGGGCACAGGGCATCACCACCAGCAGGTGGTGAGCAACTGCATTGTACATTGCTTGTTTTGCTTGGGTTTCATCTCTTTCTCCGTTTTACTACTGTTACAATTAGGATTTGCATTAGTATCACTATTAGAGTTTGTATTAGTATTAGTGTTAGTATTACTATTTGTATTCATATTGGATTTTACTCTGTTTCAATTATTAAACTGTTCTTATCTCAACATACGAGTTTTGCTTGGGTTTCATCTCTTTCTCCGTTTTACTACTGTTACAATTAGGATTTGCATTAGTATTACTATTAGTGTTTGTATTAGTATTAGTGTTAGTATTACTATTCGTATTCATGTTGGATTTTACTCTGTTTCAATTATTAAACTGTTCTTATCTCAACATACGAGTTCTACTTCTGATTTTCCTCCCTGTTCCACTGGGGAGGGGGATGGGGATGGGGATGGGGATGGGGATGGGGGGGAGCAAGCGGCTGTGTGGTGCTTACTTACCAGCCCAGCTGGTAACTTAAACCACAACACTTCACCAGCACGTGATTCTTCAACGAGTCCAACTATTCTGTCACCTTTTCTTCAAATGAGATTTACAATCTTGGTATCATAAAAATCACCATCAACACACCCGTGATTCATGTAATTCAGTTATGCACACACTGCACTGAGAAGTCCACTTACTATTTTTAAACTTGGTCCTTCTTAATTTCACTGTGCTCAGTTTTTTGGCCTACTAGTTAGAACAAAAAAGATAAGTATAAGGCATTCCCTAGCATTAATGATTTCACAGGATCAGAGAGTTGTACAATATCCCAAGTTGGAAGGGACCCACAAGGATCGAGTCCAACTCCTGGCCCCCCACAGGACAGCCCCAAGAATCACACCATGTGCCTGAGAGCGTAGTTCAAATGCTTCTTGAACTCTGTCACAATTGGGGCCGTGACCACTTCCCTGGGGAGTCTGTTCCAGTGCCCAATCACCCTCGGGGGGAAGAACCTTTGCCTGATATCCAGCCTAAACCTGCCCTGACACAGCTTCATGTCATTCCCTCGGGACCTCTCACTGGTCACCACAGAGATCAGTGCCTGCCCCTCTGCTTCCCCTCACGAGGAACTTGTAGACCACAATGAGGTCTCCCCTCAGGCTTCTCTTCCCCAGGCCGAACAAGCCAAGGGACCTCAGTGGCTCCTCCTAAGGCTTCCCCTCAAGGCCCCTCACCCTCCTCCTGGGCTTCCTTTGGACACTCACCAAGAACTTTATATCTCCCTTCTATTGGTCACCCACAAGCTGAGGCCACACCAGCACAGAGGGGAGCAGGACAATCACCTCCCTCCACCAGCTGGCAATGCTGTGCCTGATGCACACATACAGTATCCTGTCTTTCAGTTAGACATGTTAGACATAGCAGAGAGTTCAGAATTAAGTCCAGAAGTCCTGAAACACACATGAAATATGTGCAGATAAAGGAAGCATCTTCATTGTCTAGGCAATCAAAGCCAATTTATGCCATAAATTCTAAGAGGTTAGAATATTTTTTTAGTTTTCCTGAATGAAAATGTAGATGTTTTCCACCCACAAAACTTGTTTTCTTTCCCTACATTCTTGACCCTGGTCTCTCAAAGGCTTGTGTTTCCAAGGTTATGCACACACGGCACTGAGAAGTCCACTTACTATTTTTAAATTTGGTCCTTCTTAATTTCACTGTGGCCTCTAGTTGAAAACATGAAAGAGGTTAGCATAAATATTGGCATTCCATCCATGCTTTATTACTTAATCTATATACTTACCTCCACATTGAGTAGTACTGACTGCTGCATGGTCAGTGGAATTTTTTTTTCCGAGCCTTAGTAAGAAAATAGACTCAGTAATAATTTTTTACTATGTAAATTTTTGTAAGTCTTTCTTGACTTTCATTAACCATTTCTTTTGCAAATTAGAGCTGATAGGCACTTTCACCAAGCCTGTCATGGAGTACCTAGTAATACAATATTATATAGGTACCTAGTGATACAATATTCTACTTTTGGATTTTCCATCCCATGTCCTAGCAACAGTATTGTTTTTTCCCAGTGTAGTCCTAAAGCTGGACTCACTCCACAAAGAAAACCACACCCTTTTTTGATGCTCCAGAGGCTGTAGACATGTGAATAAGTGCTACTTGACTGAAAAAACCAACCAACCAACCAACCAAAAAAAACCAGCCAAAACCCTCATGCCCACTTCTGACACTGAACAGGGTCTTACACTTTCTGTGCATGAGTTTAGATCTTATTTTGAAGCTGAGTTCCTACAGCTGTTGTTTTCAGATTGGGACTGTGTCTCAATGATGCATTTCATTACCTTTTCATCAGTGGCACCTTCCAAGTATGGGTTGATTCATCAATTATCAAGTGATCACTTGGATTTTTTCTGGTTTTCTTTCTATTCATGAACATCAGTGAGATACACACACAAACTGAAACTACAGAAATTACATCATTCTGCCCACTGAAACAATTTACGCAATGTCAAAAGCAACAGTAGCTTTATTCCAGGACTAATTTCTAAACTCAGTATTGGCTTTTCTAACTGAAGACGATGTCAATCAGGACTATAACTATTATATGAAAACGTGAATTTATCTTGCAATCCTCTGAAAGACACACTTCCTGGAAAGAAATGACCTTCAAGTGTGATTCAGTTCCAAAAGAAGATTCACAGGTGGCAGACAAAAAGCTTTCCTAACTGGAAGAACTGCAAAGTTAGACTAGGCTCGCAGCCAAGATAGACACTTTCCATCTCAGGAATTACAATAAATAATAACATCTGTTACCTATGCAGCTACAGAAACGAAATCCACTCAGATCTGTTGCATCAAAAATTTATATGCCAAGCTTTAGGATCACTACCAAATACAATTAAGGTGTTTGATCACACAGAAAGAGCCAAGATTGCTCCACAGATTAAAATACTAGAGGTTTTTCTAAAGAGAACTTTACTGAAAGTAGTGTTATTACTATTTTTCTTCCAAAACATTAATTCCTCTTTTTTTGTGCAATATAAATGCATTATTACTAGTGATTTAAGCTATGGAAATGAAGAAGAAACAAGAGTTCCTCCGTGCAGCCATTTCATTTTACAAATATAAGATGGGAGAGAAAAGAAGGAGCATCCTATCTTCTCCTACTACCTTCTTTGATGCTTTTTCTTTTCCCATTTTTCTCCCTAGTACAACAGCAACTTCAACAGCAACATTATCAAATGTTCTTTCAACCATGAAGGTAGCATATCATCCACTATTTAGTCAGTTCCCTAACTTCTTGTGTCAGGACACAACTAATCAGGATTTTACTCATTTTTAGCAACCACATCGCTGTCTCATTTGTCTTCTCAACTAACCTCATTTGCCTATGGTTTAATTCATTCTCTCTTTAGTATTGCAGCCTATTTCATATCCCATCTCCTCCAATCTCTCCCCAAACTCATCAAGGGGGACACCATTAGCATATCAAGACCTTAAGGAAGCACATTTTCTGTTGATGCTTCCTGTCAGTAACAAGTGACCTTTGTTCCTGCTTTCAGTCTTTCTCCTATCTCTCCTTATGCCATACCACCCAAATTTTTAAGCCTTCCAAGTACACAGTGTGGTGATCCCACCATTCAGTACTTTTCTGTGCAAAGAAGCTGCCTTTGGCACATCACTCCTCTAAATTTCAGTTGAATACCATTTTATTTAATTTTTCACTGACTTTTATTATTAGGGTGCTGAAAATACACCTTATTTCCTTTTTAAAGCATGCAGCCATAACCAAGTTGAACCACAAACCCATGGCAAGTAGAAAAGAGAAGACTTTTCCACTGGAGGCATTTGAGGACCTTCTCATCCTTCTCAAATGGTGGGGCCCAGCCCCTGACACCCCTGAAGCACCTGCACCGCCACCCCCACAGCTCTCTAAAATATCCAATGGCAGAGTCAGAGAGAAAAGATCGTTTTATCCTGGACATCAGCTGGGGAGGCACAGGAGCCACAGCACTTCCAGCAGCAAACATGAAGCAGCATCTGGAACAACAGAGAAGTTGCAGTTCTGCAGAGGAGTCTGTAGAAAACCCACCAGCACCTTCACCTGCACACATGCAGGTGAAGCCCAGACCAGCTGCCTTCTGAAAACAAACTCAGCAGCCTTTCCCATCAGGCCTAAGCCTGCTCTTCCAGGCAGCCACCCCACCAGCATTTACTCGAGGCGTGAGCCATCCAGAGACCACTGAGCAGCCACACTTGGGTGGGACAGGAAGGCTGCAGCCAGCACGCCGAGACAGCGGACCTTTGCTGTCACCTCCTGCAGGAGCAGCTCCTCATCAGTTGTACCATACTCTTGTGGGAGTTGAGAACTTACTGAAGTGTACTGTAAGAAATTAAGGGCTTGTTAGCCACCATTCTGAGAAGTGTACTGTAAAAAATTTAAGGGTTTCTTGGCCAAGACCTTTTGAGTCTAACTCCTGGGCTGGTTGCCAGAGTTATGGTGACTGTACCATAAAGCTCCCTGGCACAGGCCTGGTGTCTTTGTTCAGCCTGATGAGAATTTACAACATGTATTGTGTCCCTGATTGATGGCTTGTGACATCAGTAGTTTGGGTGGGTAAAACAGAACAGGGAAAAGTGAGAGTATTGGTAAGGAGAGATTAGAAAATACTCTTTTTTGCCTTTTCTTCAGCAAACTGGCTGGTTATGTCTCTCTCTCTCTCTGCAGATTTAGCACAGGTATTATCGCGCTGGAGCTTTCCTGTATTTGTCAAGATGCTCATGCCCACATAAGAGTGCTCTGTCAACTATTTGAAAAGGATACAAAAGAATGTATTTGAGAAGTTTTATTTTACACCCTCAGTTTCAAAAACCTTTACACAATCTGCAGAAACCAAATCAAAGCAGTGAGTTGTAAGTTTCCTCTTCATGCACATCTGCAGACCTGTTTTTCATTGATTCACCTCTCCTGTGTCCAAAAGCAGGGCACTGCACATCCTCATCTGCCTCAGATTCTGAAGAAGTGAAAGGTCAATGTTGAACCAGTATCAGCCGCTACAATGAGGAAAGTCACAACCATGACAGAGCATTCCCTGTTCTTTCCAATTCCCTCCACCTTGGTAACTGTGGAAACACTGTAAAGCCTCCAAAAACAAGGTGACAATTTCTGACCTGAAGGAGCGTGTCTGCAACAAGCTGTCTACTCTAAGAGCAGTGGAGC